TTGCAATCTTGTATGCTCGATCACTTCGAAGACATGCCCATTCTCAATATGATCTTCGGACGATCCAGCGCCGCGGCACCTGTGCCAAAGCCAATGATCAAGAGACGGGCATCACCGTTGAAGGAATCCCCTGCTCGTGATGAGGAAGATGAGACATCAGACTGCCCCATGGAGCAAGTCGCCGATGAGAATCCATCCGCCTCTCAGCAACCCGAGAATGTCAACATGGAGCAGGTTGATTATGATCCAGATTCCGACGACGATGATTCAGATGAAGAAGGGCACCCTCCCGCAGGAAGGCCTACGTCAAAGGCGATGCCGCATCCGAAACTTGTTCCAAAGTCACCGCCACCAGCATTGAGGCTTGTCTCCAAGGTCAAGCCAGCACCAAAGAACATCCTGGATGAAGAGACGGAATCCGACAATCATCCTGGTGATCGACCTGCACTTCCAAGGCGACCAGTGATGCGGCCTGTTCTCACATCCATTGATCGGTGGTTTGTAACATATGGATTGGATACAAACATCAGCCTCCAGAACCTTTCGGAAACTCAAAATTCCTGAATTTGGTGTACGAGTACTACAGGGAATGCTCAACCATCCTCGATGTCAATCCGGATTTCCACTTCGTTCCTGAGCATGAGAGACCACATGGAGTTAAGGTATTCTGGTTGAAGGCCAGATTCAACGATTACTGGCAGCCAACACTCCAAGGTGAAGGACCTCATACGGAGAAGCAATACATGGACTTCATCAAGAAGGTCTACAGCATCTGCTGCTACACCAATGCTCAATCCGAAGTTTACGGAACCGACATCATCCCGATGGTATGCCACAACGGCAACATTGATCTCGAGAAGACCGTCCAGAATGTCGAACAGGTTTGCAAATACTTCCGCATGGATCCATCCAAGGCGAAACAGATCACAGATCTCATCCTCTGGCGAATTGAGAGAATGAGCAGATCATTTTCCGGATGTCTTCGACATGATCCAAGGCATGGAATCCATAAGGAATGCAGACGACAAGTGGACATGGGTCCTGATGGATCCGTCGAGCTCTATGACGCATTGACCTGCATCACACATGCCAGGAACTTCATTGGAAATAAGCCAGGACTTCTCTTGATGGCTATGTTCCCGAGCTATGGGAAATCACGTTTCGAAATTGCATTCGTATTTCCATCCGTGGACGGGCCATATAAGGAGCGCAAGGCACGGGGAGAAATTGTTCCAAGGAATCGATGGATCGACAAGCTCACCACAAGATCCGCACAAAAGCACTCAGGCCCGATGGCAAGGAATTCTATGTCGATCCAGAGATGGAGTTCTACGTGAGATGCAACAGCGGACACACACGACAAGTCGAGATCCAATCCTTTGGACGACCCCTGTACTCTGAGCAGCAGAAAGAGCCTCAACACGACGAACCGGACTATGATCTACCAACGGAATCTATTCCGCCAAGTCCGCATCCGTCAAGATCCGAGGCGCCTCATGAAGATGAAGGCACAGCTCAGCCCAAGCACAGAATGCGAAGGCCGGCACCACCCATTGAAGAAGAGAGAAAAATCAAGCCGTTCGCGAAGAAGCCCATCACATTCATGTTCCATGCAACCTATGGAAATCAGCTCTTCAGCATCATGGAGCACGGGCTCAAATCTGGGAAATCCCAGTCAAACCCTTCGGGGAGAACGCACGTCCACATGGCATGCATCGATGACGTCATCCTTGACGACGATGAGTCAGAAGCCGCATTGACCCATGTGCCAGCAGGAAGAGATGCACTGTTGATCCTTGCATTCCTCAAGGACCAAGACTATGGCATCCGACTCTCCGAAGAGCGAACAGCGTTGACAGACAAAACCATCGAGGCAAGGAACATTGTTGCAGCATTGAACCTGATGGCAGCCTCATGGCGAGCAACAAGTGGATCATGAAGAAGCATCTCAGTTATGAAGATTACGAGATGTACGACACCAAGATCCGCGAATTTGCCGATGCCTTCTTCAATTATGTGAATTCCACCAAGCACAGCAAGGAAAAAGATACTTCCTCAGAGACCAAGAAGAGACGGCATTCCACCGATCAGGACGAAGCTGAAGAAGAGACGATGGAACCCTCCGGGGAAAGATCCGTCAAGCCAAAAGTCATCGTGGAATATCACAATTCAGAGAACCTAGATGAGTTCATCCAAGAACTCAAGGGAATCTATCTCGAAACAGATTTGAACAAAAAGGACGCAGAGGAAGAGCTCGCGGAGACCAAGGCAAACCTCTCCCGCTTCATGAACAAGTTCAACAAAGATCCAAGAAGAGCTCATCCCAACTTGACAGAGTGCGAGAGAGCCTCATTGGCACATGTCGATCCCGATGTCAATCTCGGAGAAGAAGAATTCTACTTCCCTCATCGAGGAGAATGTCCCACCATTGACGAGTACAAGCAAGCTCAACCAGGATCCGGATATCCGATTAAGCTTCCGCTTGGATTGAAGAAGCTCAGGTCACATGATGACCCGGAAATCATCCGAGCCTATGCCGATATCCTGGGATCGCTGATGCAGCCGACCGATCGTCCTCCTGTGGACTATCTCAAGATGCATGAGTTCACCTCATCCATAGCGATCAACGTGCTTGCCCTGAACCATGGAAACCTCACAAGGAATCCAAAGCTGGACAACAGGGAGGTGTACAACATGCCGATGAAGGATCGACCGATCGTAAAGATGATCATGCAGAACAGTGCACACATCTTATGCCTGAATGAAGCAGACGCATTCTTCAGTCCTAATGATGAGAAATCCAGGGAGCTCATCAAGACGTTCATCCGATACGGTTACAAGGGCATCGTGATCAAGCAATGGTCATCCAGACCGATCGCATGCTTTGTCCGTGGCGGACCTTCTGCAAGAGTGGAACTTCTGGCAAGAAACATTTCCACCAAGAGCCAGAATTGGGGAACCACATTCGGAATGTTCAGATGTTTCTTCGGAACTGAAGGAAGTTGCACTGATCCCGAATACGAAATTCCGACCTCGGATTGCTTGGCAACCACAGAAACATCCATGTTTACTGAATCCAAGAAGTACATTGGACCGAGATTGCCAACACGCACCATTGTCCAAGGACATGGCCGAGACAAGGAGATTGTCGTTCTCCATACCGAGCAGAGTGATGAGTTTCGTGGCATGATCCCGAAATCATCCAACAAGTCACTCCACGAGTATGACGACCGCCACATAACGAGGGCAGATCTCCCATTCGCTACCATTGGAGTTTTCCACATCCATCCTTCAATTAGCCATGGAGCAGCAAGGGAAGATCTTCAAAATGAAATCATGCCGCTCGTGACTTTGTACCGATGCGATGCGATCACCGGAGACGCCAACAAATCAGCGAACACCTGCAGCAAACTCCAGCACGTCTTCAATCCGGCCAACGGTCTCGTGAACATCCTCATGAGAGCATATCAGAGACTGTGGAATGAATCGAAAGATTTGCCACTCGTGGACAGAATGGAGTATGCAATGGAGACTTCGTGCACCCTAAAATCCATTGTCCGTCATCACCTGTACATGAAGTGTGGATCAGGATATGATCGAACATTCCCAGATGTGATGATGACTTTCGTGTTTGGATGGGGCAAAACGAACATCCAACAGGCTTTCCGGAAGGACGAGATGAACGGCATGGATGATGAACAACTGGAATTCATGCGGAACCATCCAACCAAGGCCATATTCGATTACCAGGTCTCATCCGCAGAGCGCTTTAAGCACGTGAACAATGACATGTTCATGAATGGCTCGCAGGACTCCGACTCTCACAGTCCTCTCATGGTTTACATCCGCAGCAAATCTGCAACCAGGCAACGCAGCTCTGAGAGATACCAGGAGTACATCAAGAAGAAACAAGCCTGGACCCCGCAGGAGTACAAGGACTACAACAAGCAGTGGGGACATCAGAAGCAGTGGAAGGACTATAGCAACTCGACCTGGAATGATTATGGAGACTATGGCAGTCAATCCGACAGCAGCCGCCGATGGTATCGTCGATCCGACTGACCATGAAGATTCATACGTTCAGCACCACGAACTCAATTCAGATGATTGATCCTCGCCGTCTACAAGACTATACCATGAGTGAGAGATCAATAGTTTCACAATCGTCCCGCGTGTACATAGTGTTGTACATCAACCTTTGATACATCTAGGTATCTCAAAAAGAAGCAGTACATAGTGTTTTCCATTTCGAAAGCCAAGACATTTCATCCGAGCAGAAAAGAGGATGAATCCGGCATTTTTACTACACATGGCTACGGCATACAGCATGGCTACGGCATACATCAAGGCTACGGCCACAGGCCATGAAGCCAATAGTATTTCATACTTAGTGCTGGAAATCAAAAGAAATTTGTGTCTGTTTTGTGTTTGGTTCTCGGACCAATTGATCTCCCGCAACACTTGGCTCAAGGCCCCTTTTGTATATCATTGCATCATTCATGATCGCGTGAAGCAAAAGAACCTTAGCAGGCCGCTTACAGGATTATCCACAAGACAATCCACCAGGGACAATCCATCCTCCAATCATCCACAGTGGCATATCGGATTCTCTCCGGAATAGATCCAGGGACCAACACAACGACCTCTGCTACCACAGGGTACCAGTTTTGTTCGGGGATAGGCACCTGGGGCAGTGGGCCTCACCCCCCCCCCCCTGGAAGGCGAGCACGCCCCTGCTGAAGGTCGCTACACGGGGACCAGAATGGGAGGTTTGTTCGCATTCCTCGGATCTGCTTTGATCCGATTTTTCATCTCCAGGTTTATCAACAGAAAGTTTAGAAGGAACTTCCGTGAAACGGCAACGAATTGAAGACTAGCTCCCTGAGACGGATGACAAGAGAAGAACGCGCAGGCGCGACAAAAATGGGCGTGCACGTGTGGCGATGGAATGGGCTGGCGGGGAAATGGGCATGAAGCGTGCAACCCTCTCGACTCGGCAGGGAGTGGACACCAAGAACCTGCCCTTCCTGGTCCACAGGAGACGACCCGAGGGTTTTTGTAGGGGCAAAACCTCCTGTTTTCCTTTTGACGATCGGGTCGAAAAGGAGCACCCCGGCTGCGGGTCTGGGGTCATGACTGGGCTGCTTTTAGATGTTTTGTCCAGTTTGCGTTCGAAACTTGGTGCTCCAAGAACGATGGCGACTCTAATCTATACACAGACGGTGACATGCTATGGCCCCAAGCATGCCCAGATGTTAAAGGGTAAGCAGCTTGCCGCAGGGTATCCGAAAGCAAGTCCTCCAGAAAAAGTGAAATCACTCGCATATCAGAATCTTCGGCCCTTTGTGTCGGAACACTGTAACCCTGAATAGTTTAAAAGGAATTGAGGCGGTGTTTATTTCTGTGCAGTTCTTCAATACGGTTCTTTTCTCTTGTTGGACTTTACTTTCCAAGCGTCTAATGCGCATAACCCCCGAGCTCAGCAGCCCCTGAATCACAAAGACCTGAAGGTTGTCATGGCCTCATGTCCCTTCCGCAAGTGGCCTACCGTTACTAAAGAGGACATGCGAAGACTGCATGGCCAGGAGAATTGGGCTGGACGACCGCTGCAGACTTCAGACTTCCCACTTTCACTTCATCCTGCCAGTCGCAGTGTCCCTTGCTTTGCAATTGAAAGTAACCCCTGGTTGAGTAATCTGAGGATCTCATGCAACGTAAACTTCAGAGAAACTCGGATCCTACTACTGGGGGCCCGTGAGGGAATCATCCGCTTTGGTGCACAAAGGGCCCGACCCATTTTATATGGGAGGGCTCTGTTCGAATTTAGTCAACCTCCTTTCTGAATTTCAGCCTGGCTTTCCAATAGGGACGCCTCTGTCAAACATGGTCCTTGGCTTGTCCCCATGAATAGCGAGGTTGGTCCAGAGTTCTTCTGATGCCACGTGTCGAACATGGTGTCCAGAATTTTGCATGATGTTCACACATGTTGGGTCCTACGACTTACTGGTTGGCGAACACGCACTACGCATATGTTCTTTGGCTCAAAGCAACTTTCATCAGGCTTTCCCCTTCAAAGTGTGTCTGATGAAAACACATGCCGGCATCAAGTCGCCTGTTTGGACCCAGGCTTTTCGCGCGCCCTTGGCCGGTTCCAAGTTTCAGGATCCATGGGGACGCGTTTCGACCGGACACCCCCGGGCAAGGACCTCCTCCGGGAATCTCCCTGTCTATGTGGAGCCCACGCAGAAGGGTGAGAAGTTCACCCGCATCCGCAGGCGCAGGGCGCAGGGCGACCCCGGAACCGCGGAGCCGGGACAAATGGAAGACTTATGTGCAAATGATTGCGACTTATTCTAGGATAAGCCTCAAGCCCGGGATTTAGTAAGTGAAAGAGGACATCTGAACATTTCCCATTTATTCTTGCTTAGGGAACGGGGGGGGTCGCTTCACTTCGATGTCGATGTCCGAACGAAAAAGGGGGGGCTGTAGGTGGCCCCATGGAATCTTCAAGACACCCTTTCTAGCGGGTAAAACCCAACTGCTCCCTCTGGATTTGCTGTGTCAACGAAGCCTTTGACCAGCGATTCTTCCACGTAAGCTTGGTGCTTTCAATCCGGAAGGACCCCCTGCCCCATGTTGGGGTCCATTGTGGCAAACCACCCGCAACTAAACCACGGTTTCCCTTGAACCCACCTAAGGGAAAACTTTGACAACGCCAAACTGGGGCCAGATTGACCAGTGTTTTTTCCAATACCCAAACTTTTTTGCCACAGTGTTTTTTTTTGGGGGTTTCCCTTTGTACCAACCCCCGAAAAGGCGTTTTCCGAAATATATACATATATACATAGAAACCAGATGTCTCGAGTTCCTTGCCGCAGGGTCTTCGGGGATGCGGAGCACTTGGCGCGGGAGGCGCGTTGAAGACCCCCTCGGAAAGGAGTGCTCCAAGTTTTGCCGAAGCCGGCGCCAGCAAAGAGAGAAGTTGAGGCCATAGGTGTCCTTTTGATCGGTGAGTTTGGTTAACAGTAGACGGGTTCCACTGGTGTAGATGAGGCTTATCAACCATTTACCAGGAAAAGCCATCCATTTTTCACAAAGGGCCACCTATGATGTCCAAAAGGCCACCTATGTCTTGCTGCGAGGTGGGCCGCCTCTGCGACTCCTCGGCGCGGCCCAGCCGGGGCACGCGCAAGGGGGTGGAGGCCAGAGCGGAGGGAGGGCGCTTTTGTAGCCGGAAGGTGACCCGCTAAGAAGACGAAGTCGACTAAACAGACATACCTGGGCTTCTTAGCTTTTTAGGGTGTAGTGGTAGTTTGCATGTAACCTACAAAAAGCTAAACTTTTAGCAGCCAGCCCACACATATATGTATATATATATATATATACACACTCCCATGATCGACAGGTTTCGATCCAGGTGCCGTGGACACTCACTAGGTCGAGCATCCTGGAACAGAACGAGGGAACCTTCTCTATGACGATGAAACATCAGCCGACAGAGCGGCACCAAACACATGCCTTTCCTCCATGTGGTTCCTGACTGTACTGGTTCCTGCCCAAAGTGCCCCATGTCCATTAGGGCGACAAAGAATACAAGAGTACCGTCCGTGGCTCGTATGAGCTGCGGTCACACGCTCCAATATGCAACCGCACACGCCAGGGGACAAGCTCGTATGTGTCCACATCCTTTGCGGGAACCGCAACGACATTGTTGGTGGTTTACTGCTGGTTTGGGCGGATGTGGGGGGACAACCCACACTCCCCGCAACAAGCAGATTAAGACAGCCCAATGAGCCAGACAAACAATCTTGTTGCTCATACTCTCTCCATGGCCCGAGTGGGTCTGCGGCAAACTGGGGATTCGGACGCGAAAAAGGCGGACTCCTGTTGGCTCCCTTTTGAACCGGCCAAACAAAGAGCTGCCGAGCCGCCACACCACCGCACGCCCATCTTGGTCTTCAGTGCCAGGTGCTGGGCGTGCATGCGCGCCGCATCAAGGAGACTCCGGGAGAGTCTGGAAGGTTCACTGATCTAGGGGTTGATTCCAACCATGCTTTTCAACCATCGTTCTTTTCAAACACCAGCTGTTTTCCCAGGGTTTTTGGCGGTTTTCTAGAAAGATTCGGATCCCTGGATTCAGAATGGGGAAGCAAACCTTAGAACTGCGGGGTGGAGCTGACCTTTGAGGTCTCCTTCAAGCCCTTTGGTTTGGATTCGGATGCGAAGCCCTGGCTCTTGCAGAGGGATGGGAAACCACCTGACCTTCGAACTACATTTGTTTTTAGCCAGGAAATTAATCTGAGGTAGACCAGAATCGGAACCCCTTTTATGTGTAGAGTTGCGTGGCCCGAAAGATGTGAGATGCCTGATGTGAGTTTGCGGGCCCAAGGCAGAGAAAGTGTGGTGTCCTTGTTTCCAACCTTATCCTGTGTCCATCAACCAGCAAAAGTTGACATCATTGTGGTTCAAGGCTTGCGTGTGGCAACGCCGCCCTTTTGCCAACTTCAAGATGCCCCTTCTCTCCCTTCTTGGTTCGTTTGCCATAGCAGACCAACCATGGGGCCCATCGTGCAAGCTGCGCTTTGGTTCCTTGGTCGTTCCGGGCTTTCATTTCCTTGCAGCGCTGGATGTTTGATTTCTTCTGGAAGATGACCCGGGTCGCCAGCCCACTGTGGGTATCCTTGACTACTTTCGCCGTCGCCCCTCACGCCGCCAAAAATATGTGCAACACTTGGACTTGCTAGCTTCATGAATTGCGAGTTGCATTATCTGGCCCACTTTGTTTGTTTCCCCTACTTCATTGGGGTGTTTCTGGTGGCGTTATCATGAGTCATGGACTGCCTTGGGGCTTGCCGGCCTCTCGCCCTTCCCGGGAGGCGGGGCGGGATCAGTCCCTGCTCAGTGCATCTACGGCCATTTGCGGCCTCTTGCAGCGCTTGGGGCCCCTGCAACAGCTCACTTTTGGGCTGCGTGAAGATGGTTTGCTGAACTGATGCGGGCCCCCTTGTGCCGAGGCAGGTTGGGCGCGCAGGCTTCGTCTTTTGGACACCTGCCAGAAATTGAAACTCGCCCGAACGGCCAAGAGGGCGCCGCTGAACTGAAGACAGAGAACCTTTCTGAACCTCTCGCTCATAGTAAGTGGTGTGCAGGATTAACCCTATATGTATAAAACACCCTCAGAGGACGTATTAAGCAGGGAATGTCCACTTACTAACCATAGGTGAAATCCCACAAACTGGGAGCGCACTTTTCGTGGCCGTCCGTGAGGAGTGGCTGCAGCACCTGGGGCTCTGAAGCACTTCGCTCGCGAAGGTTCGCGAGGGCGAAAAGCGACAAGCCGCCAGCGTGCGGCGCGCGGTTTGAGTGTCAGGTTGCCCAACGGCTTCGTTGCCGTGTTTTCTTGAGTTTGTTTCGAGTGGCACTTTGAGTGGGTGCCAATTGGGAGAGCTTGCTCAGGCGGGTCTGCTGTTGGAGCCCTTTGGGATGTTTGAAATGGACGCTGGAAGGCAACCAGGGACCATTTTTGAATGCGGGTCCTCAAAACAGGATTTGGTATCCTTCTGGTGTCCCGGTTTGAAGGGCTTCACCTTATTGGTTGCGGTATTCTCCCGCTCGCGAGAAGGGCCAACGCCGATTCCTCTTAGAGGTAGACCAATTTCGCCCAAAGAGGGATTCAGCAAATGAGCTGTGCCCAAAGTCCCATGAAGCTGGTTAGGGGTCCTGGGTTTTGGTTCCCAGAAATCAAGCTGTCCGGTGGAAGACCTTGCCAGGATTCTCGCGAACATTTGTCGGGGCTTGAGCAAATCACGTTGCCACCAGATGAGTTTTGGGTGAAACAAAAACCGTTCGTCTTCTTGTTTGGCCCGTTCGGGGAAGTCTCCCCGACACGTTGCCAGAAGCTTTCCAAAACATGGTTGTTGTTGGGAGACATTTTGCATTTTTGCTTATTGTGGTTTAGTGGAAATCCCCACTTAGCTGCTAAAATTTAATTTTTGCTCCCCTTCCAACGTCAACCAAGAAAACAGGTGTTGCGCCTCTTGGTCTCCTTCATTTTCTCTTACACACCCAAAGGTTTCTGCTTTTTTGTAAACGGTCGGGTGGAAGTATTTGCAGCTGATCTGGCTTGGCCCGTTCGGGCGCATCGGTTTCCATTCGCCGATACGGCCGACTCCATTTTGGGCACCGAGGCATCTTCCGGTGCTCTTTCCAGGCGGCAGACCCAGCTGTGGCTGAAGCTGGGATGCCCAGTTTTGGTGGGAGGGAAATCAAAAGAACCAGCTCCATTTCGGGGTTGGTTGGTCTGAGTGTTAATGGGGGCACCCCTCCAAAGTGGTTGGTGGGCATGGATCCCCACCTAAATGATGTCCACCAAAGGGTCCCAAATTAAAATTCAGACCTCAGTTGGTTCTAGGACCAATTCCTGTGATGCCAACCGTGAAAAATGATGGGGATGGCTCCTCCCGACGAAACCACTGACCCAGCCTCCAAAACCAACTGGTTCAAAAACGTGACTCTGTTTCCCCCTTTCAGCCAGGCTCCGATATGCTTTCCAAGGGATCACCAAAGGCCAAAAGAGACAGCCCACTTCGAATCGGCACAAAAGCGGAGCGTCCTTGCTGGTGCTCAGTAGGGAATGACCCAGGGTGTTAGGAAGAAACCCAGAGATTCCCGAGGAAAGGAAACCATTTGAGGGGAGCAAGCTTCAAGACCCAAGTTCAAAGCTCGAGAATGATTAAAATCCCCTGCTGTTTGGCCAGTCTTCCGGATTTTGGTTGAACTTTGCAGCGGTTTTTTGGCGTCCTACTGTGGATGGACGAAATCCGTTCGCACCACCTAGGAAACCCTGGAATGATGACTCTCCTGCAAATACCAACAGCGGATTCCCATGGTTTCAAAGTGGTGCGAACGGATTTGCCATCCACAATGCAAAGGGCAACGGCTGCATTGGTCCATTTTGCCTTCCCGCCTGCAGATGGGAAAGGCAGGCATGGACGCTGGGATTGGCCAAAGTCAAGATGGGTCTGTTTCACTCCTTGGAAGATCAATGACATGAGCTCACCATGGTGAAGGTCCGTTAGTTGGAGCTCCTTTTGTTCAGGTTGTGCAGCTATAGATTTTGCTAGATCTAACCCAGAAAGGGATCCCTTAGTATGAAGCCAAGACCTCCTCCCCGTTTCCGCGGCCCAGCCGAATGCCGCCCCGGCGTTGGTACCTTGGCGTTGGGTGCGATTCGGCCGGTCGGGGTGAGAGGTGGCCAACGCAATCTACGAGGGTGGCAAGGTGGACGGAATCGCAGGCTTGGAAGCAGCCGCGCACCCAGCCCCAATCTTCCCCTTCCTGGTGGTTGCGAGGGCAAGCCCATTTATAGCGAGCAATCAGTTAGCATATAGACCAAAAAGGACAGTTAGCACAAACCTGAACAATACCCCGACTCACTAGCTGTTTGCTATCTGCTCTATTCAGGTCCCATATCCAACTGATTGTTACTCACTATAAATGAAACTGGCGCAGCCCTGCTTCAAGGACATGTTTTTTGTTTTGTTTTTACCTGCACCAAATATGTATGGCCGGAAGCTAAACTCGGCAGAGGAAAAGCACATATACATTTTGCAGGGATGCGCACCCCGTGCAGGATTGCACGTCCTCTTCAGACCAAGTCGAATCGTGCACGGGAGGGACGAGAGGGAACTCATGACATTTCCCCACACGAACCAGGGGACGAGCCCTAAATATCGCATGTCCTCTTGGGAGAAAACAGGTCATTTTGAGCGTGACTCAGAGTTGGGACTGTCACATTTTCCTGGTGACCAAGATATTCGGTGAATTGGCTGTTTCCTCCAAAACCAAAAGGGGGTACCCTCAAAACCAGACCCACCTCCTTTTTGGGCGAGGCTGAGCCCCTCGCCCTCCCTCCAGCGAGCCAAACGCTGAGGTGGCGCATGTCATACAGAATCGATGTGGCTCAGCTCTCAGCCAGGAGTACCCCTGAGAGGGGATGCTCAAAGCAGTCCAGCCGAAAATGGCAACGCTTCATATTCAAACATCAGTTTGAGAAACACTCATATGCCTTTGTTTAAATGAGCCATCACGAATACCGCCAGTCTATGGTCCATGTGGAAGGGCCGAGAAGTGGGGGGGGGGACAGTCAATCACACAATTGGTCAAAGCAGGTAAAATCCTGCCACACGCCTGCCGTGTTTTCTGTCACCTGGTTCCCAGTGACATTGCTCATAAGGTTGATCACATGCTTCCCTACTCAAAATATTCAACAGGGCCAACCACAGAAAGATGCGGAAGTAGTTCGCACTTGAGGAATGCTCCATGGTTGGATCCTTTTGTCAGGTTTTGATTGCGACTCAGGTCTTGGTGAATCATGGAAACACTGCGCGCTTTTAGATGCACAGCCTTCTCCGCACTCCTTCCGCGGGACTGTTTGAAGGCTACCATTGCGACCGTCTCGGACAGTTCTTTGTGAAAGAAGGCCACACACAGGGGGGGGTTCCGAAAAATCCACATGGGTTTGTCTCAAAACGGAAGCACAAGCACATGGCGATTTCCCCAAGAGGAAACTCTCTTGAAACCGGCTGCCCCGGTGCCGCCACAAAAGACACCCAAAAGGCATGAAAAAAGTGGCACACAGGTGCATGTCAAACAGAGAATCCCCAACCAGCACTCGGGTCTTATCCACTGCCTTTTGGGACATGCTTGAAACAGCATGTTGGAGGGGGGGGGTGCTGGACACATCTTGGTTTCCTTGGGTTCTTTTTCACTGCAGAGCGCAGGGCACCCTCACAAAACCCACCCCACAAAAAGGGAGGCTGTGACAAGGTCAGCGGTTTTCCGGCCTCGGAAAAACCATTGGCGAGGCCATTCGTCTTTCCCGAGCGAGCCAAGAAGTGTCGTGCGATTAGGCGCCACCCCCGCCCACTTTGAGTGGATCTGGGGGCATCGTTTGTTGGAGTTGGTACCCCCCCCTTTTGTGGTTCCAAACACCAGAAGGAAAACCGGTCCCCCTCAAAAAGAGAAACCCATCTAGCAGTACCCTTCACTTTCTGTTCTCTTCATGGATCCTTCTCTTCAAGACTCGCGCCAACCTCGGAAAATGCTTGGATTTGTGAAGAGGTCTGAACTCGTTTTTTTCTCACCCGGTTTTTAAACTTTTGTTGAGCAGCCAAAGAGGTCGGGGCTCCCCCCCAACTTGGAGGACAATGACCCAGGTTGCAAGCTGGGATCAGTTCATGTTTTTTGGACTCTTTCCGAATGATCGGTTCACAAAATGCGGGGCCAGACTCGCATGCAGGACTTATTTTTCGCTTTGCAGTTGGGGGGGGTTTGCTTGAAGTGGAGTAGGAGACATTTCTCGTTGGAGGCTTCGGCAAAGCGTTCGGCCGACGACAAGACCAAGTCGTTTTTTCTTTTTCTTCAACCCTGCAAAGGGCAAGTTTCGTCCAGTTGCGGCCACCTTTTGTCCTTCGTCTTTGGGGTTTCTGGCGATCTGGTCGGATGTTGGGACTTTTAGCTGTTCGGTTGAAACAGCTCGGATTTTCCGTGTTGAACCCACAGCCAGATAGATGTTTTGCAAAGGGGTCAACAGCAACCCAGTGGCCACTGGGACCGAACGGGGGGGTGGGGGGTGGGGTTGAGCCATGACCAGAGACTCAGAGCCTGCAGCCATTTGCTCGCATGACGCCACTTTTTGGACCTTGGCTGGGTTCCTCCTGGGTGATGTGGCTGCCGTTTTGGCACCATTTTGGAGTAGGTGCACCACCCATTTTAGTCTATTTTAGTGGGCATTGGGATGGTACGGGATTTTGACCCATGGCCATGTTTAGGGAGACACCCTCTTACACAATGCAGGGTTGTCAAGGTTCCTTTGGGACCCAAGGGTTGCGAATGATTTCATTCTAGGTGTGCTTTAATCTAGGATTTCATTGATGGTTGGTCACATATGAGTCACTGCGTTTGGTAGTCTACAGGGTGTGGCCACCCAAATTTCGGCACAAAACCACCTAAGACCGCCCAATGTCAAGCATTCGCGTGTTTGTCAGTCGTTGTAGTTGTTGTTTTATAGTATTTAAGTGCATGCAGCTCAGTCAGTGCCTGTCTCAACCTGTCGCAGCTGCCTTTCGCGCGTGGAGTTGGCTTGCAGCTCAAAGGGTGAAGACAAGAGACCCCAGTTCTTGCCATTGTCAAAGTCACCCCCCCTACATTATAGGTTAAAGCCCCCCGTCTCCCCGCCAACCAAAAACAACAAAACCCAACCAGTCAAAAAACGTGACACAAGTATGGTGATTATTGCATGGCATTGGATTCTACCTTGCAGACTCACTATATAAATATATACCATACACAGAAATCTACGCTTGGAGCCAAGCGGCACGCAAAAGTACACACAGGGTCAGCAGACAATCACTCCCCAAACCCCGCGAGATGGATTTCAGGTTTCCCTTTAAATCCAACAAAAGGTAGCCTCAAAAAGAGAGAGACCCCAGTCGGCATTTGTGGCTTCCTGAGAGTTGCGCTCGCAACTCTCGTGGATTCCGTTGGCTTCAAACAAGTGCCTTTTTGCAAGGAGTGAGTATCGATCAGGTTAGACCCAGCGACGGAACAAAGGCATCGCGACCTGGGCTTCTTCCCGCCTTCCGCTTTTGATCCATCCGGATATTGATGTCCATGGAGGCGGGGCGACTACAACGCTGGGGCCGGTTTCGGAAAGCAAAGAAGCCGATCCCCGGAACCTACGGGCGTGTCTCAAAATTCCCCGAAAAGGATCCGGTTTCCCGTGGGCCAAGAAATCGATTGCTTTGTTCGGGCGCATGCCTTGCATGCCTCTAAGAGCGAAAAACAAACCCATATGAGGTTTTGTCAAGCATTGGGCTTTTCAAATGGCACCTTGGATCGAAACAAAGACTAGCACCTGCGTACTCCTAGCTCTTTCATTCTCAGCCACCACAAGCCTTGAGTCCCTTCTATCAGCTTGCGTTGGGTTGGGAGGGGTTTTGAACTTCACGCGATTTTTCACTTTTGGCGGAACCGGTTTTTGCAAGGCGCTGTTTTTTTGTTGTTGCCATGCCTGCCATGGCTTCTTTTTCCGACGGGTTGAAGTCTCTTGGGACCAAATTTCAGTGGCAAGGAGGCAGTCTCGGCCAAGACTGGACAAAAAGCTCGAACCATTTTTGCCCCAAGCTTTTGACCAAGCGTCTTTGTGTTCTTGTTTTTGCAGGGGTCAGCTGGCCCCTGGTGCAATAAACCGCTTTTGAATGTATGCAGCTTCCTGAGAAGTTTTCCTCGGAACGAAGGCCAGTTGTTGTTTTTTGGGTCGGTGTTTCAGAGTTGGTCTTTTGGGGTGCTTTTTTAGTGTGAAATCAACGGACGTCAGCATTTAGGGGGTTCGATTCCTAAAAGAAGGCATAACCATACACGCATTTGGGCCAGGGTTAGTTCTGAGACAGTTCAGTGGATTCCGTCATACTTCATTTTGTGACATCGAATCACCCTGGGTCACATATCACATCGGGACCGGGTCACAAGCGCGAAATGTCAACAACCCCAACCCCCTCCAGTGCGGGCCTTTCCTTTGTTCAACTTTGTTTGGCAGGCCCCCCCCCCCCCCCCGTTTTTTTCTGCCGTTCTGGCTTGACGCAGGTGTTTCGCTCAACTGTGAGTTCCCCTGTGATGTAAGGGGATACACTGATGGACCAAATACACCAAAATGCACCAGTTGCTGGACCAAGCCCCTATGATCTGGTGCAGGATCTGTTGATGCAGGCAACCCTGGAAGACCAACCATGGCCCCAATATCAACTGCCAGTTGCCCAAGCGACCCATTCCGCCCTCGGATCCAAGCATCCATCTCCAGGAAATTCTCCCAAGAAGAAACCTGGTATGTCAGGTTGGGAGAATTTCCTGGAGACGTTTCCTGGACAATGTCCAAAATTATCCCAAGAAAAAGGGTATTTGGGCAATGTGGAGAATGTCGCCGGCGCACTGAACACGTTGAACCATTTTCCTGGCTTCTCGGGTCGGAGCCCTGACAAGTTTTGAGCCGCGCCTCTGTGTAGAAATTTCGACGCCGGAAGCACCCCCCCCCCCCCCAGCGGTGCCAGGATCGGGCGATGCCAAGCCTGGATCTCAGAGAGTGGGGGTCGTGGTGGTTGGGACCCGTGCTCCTTTGAAAACGTCTAATGGGTCCATGTTACTTGGGAGGGTGATAGTCACGAATTGTCACTCTTAGTTGCTAGTCATCTTTTTTTTTCTTCCCCCAACAGCTGAAAGGCCCGGAGGTAAGGTTCCACGACAATTCCACCAGGGTTCCACCAGGGTTCCAGCAGGGTTCCACCAGGTTCCACCATGGTTCCACGAGGGTTCCACGAGGTTCTGCGAGGGCTTCGGGGTGGTGCGAGCACCCCAAAGAGCACCGCATGCTGTTGGGGATATCACCTGAGCTTATTTTTAATGTTTTTCCTTCGGAATGATCCAACACTCCAACGAATTGTTTGCTTAGACTGGGTCGCACAAAACGGCGCCGGAGCGGATCTCAAAAGGACCCCCTCCCCATTTGGCATCCCGTCAAGTTTCCATCGAAAGAAAGGGGAGCCCTATTTGGGTTGCTCTTCCCAACAGGTCGATCACCTTTGGCAGGTTCAATCCGGAAGCGCCAGTTGCTTCCGGGTGCCACCGACTGTCAATTGCTCTTCCCAGGTCCATCACCTTTTGCAGGGTTTAATCCGGGTCTCGCCAGTTGCTTCCGGGTGTAGCTATCGATTGTCAATCGGGTAACCCCAAAATGGGTTGCCTGGTCAATGGAAACAGGGACCAAAGTCTGCGGTCTGTTTGAAGGCGGCTACCTTGAGAATCCGGAGGACCCCATGTCCGCCGGTGGGGGGGGGGGTTCAGGAGATCTGGGTATGGGTCAAAATAAAGCCACCAGGACATGGACCGAAAGCAGGTAGTCCATCTTTCCATTTTCCGTTGCAACTCATTCTTTTTGTACCTCGCTGCATTGTGGCGGACTAGTCGCTTGCCAAATGGAATCGTTTCGGTACGGTGAATACCCGGGCCCCCTCTCAGGGAAACGGGACATATTGGCGTAAGGTATACGCCGAGGCGTGCTTCCCCTTTACTTCAGGCAACCCTTAGTTGGTGCTTTGGATTCGGATTTAAAACCAAATGGGCAACCACCCGAGAACACCAACCCACACCAACCCAAACCTGAAAGCCACACGCCGTCTACTTTGGTCTAGACTCTTGATGCCGAGTTGCGCTTAGTGCGTGGATTCTGAAAGAACCACTTAACGATGCCACTGGGATGCTGGATCTTGTACTTGATGTTTGTCTGTTTGTCGGAATCCTGGCCGTTAGAAATGGTGAGCCCCGGGTCAACCCCTAAAAAGGAGCTATCATTTCTAGCTTTCGCCCGCCGGTTTTGCGATCCAAGGCGTCGACGAGGATGCGCGGAGGACGAACACTCTCTCTTTTGGTGGGCGGGCGGAATCTAACCCAATTACGTTTGCCGAAAAGGTTTGGAGCAGAATATGTTCAACGGGGCCCGGCCGAGTGTTTGGGTTGCATTTTTTCCCCCATTGAATGGAACCTTTCAAGACCAGCAAGAATGTAATCACGTCTTTGACATACCGATTGAGTGGAACTCACGTGTTTGCCATTTCCATTTTCAGAAAAGCACACCCATTTCCAGGTTCAACAGTGCGACACTTCCGCTCTGCATCTGCTTTCAAGTTTCTGGTTTGCAGTTGCCAGGCTTTTCCCGGAGGACAGCCGTCTTGAAAGGAGAAGAAACAAACAAGCGCACATTTGGGCAGGTGTTTGGAAGGATCAACATGATGTTTGTCTTGCCGATAGGCGGGTTTCCTTGGGTGATGGTTGCAAGTTGCTCTTTTTTCGGAGCTCGGCATGTGGGACACTTCCTGCTTTGCCCCCGACATTCTGTTTTCTTTTGTTGTTTTTTTGGGAGGGAGAATCGGTTCCCCTGTCAGAGCTCCAGAAAAAACGGGGTCTTCCGCGCCCCGCGCTTTCCCCGGAAGATCCGGACCGGTGGTTCCTTGAAAAAGACGGGTCCCCGCGCGCCCACGCCGCAACCTCTCAAGTGATCCGGCGCATATATGTATGCCGTGTGCGGCGCCATGTCGGGAGCGTTGAGCCTCATGGAAGGTCAGCAGTGGTTGAAGGAGTCGTCTCCCAGAGAGTCATCTCCCTCCAGAGCCTTGGCTTGAAGGATTCGACTTTTGCTCTCGGGGTACCTTCCATTTCCATTCTTCCAGGCATCCTTCTTTCTAAAGAACCATCAAAAGCCCTGGAAAAACAGCTGGTCTTTGAAAAGAATGATAGTTTAAAATGATAGGTGTCCTTTTGATCGGCTAGTTTGGTTAGAAATAGACGGGTTCCACTGGTGTAGATGAGGCTTATCAACCATTTACCAGGCTCAGGGAAATCCACTTTTTGTCCAAAAGGCCACCTATGACTGAAATATTTTTCGAAGGGAGTGGACAGGTCTGCTTCCAAACAGGTCGGGGAGGTCGGCCCGTGGGAGAAGTGAGGTGGTTGGTTTTTGTGGGGCTATCTGAAAGTTAAGCAGAAGTGCAGGGTTGTGGGGTGCTTGAAGACCAAATTAAGTCGTGATCACAAGATGAACATGGTAGTACTCATCTAGCCCTTCGTGTTGCCCTTTCCTCCATTTGCAGGGCTGGAGGTGTCGAGGTGTACCACTTCCACAAGGGGTATTGCCCTTACTTTGAAGTGGTATACCGCAAAATGCTCCAGACAAGGTGACCAAGGCTGTTTTGTTTGGTGATTTAACAAACATATCTTTCTGGTTCAGTAGACAAGGAGGTTATGTAGTATGAGTTACTGGGTTGACGGGGAAACAACCCTCCTGTGGACGAACAAAGCCTGGGATCGCTGCGCAGCAGGTATGAATGCTGAGTGCCAACAAGAGGTGGCCCCCACCCAAATAATATATATATATATATATATATATATAATTGGTTGGTTTCCTTTCAGTTTCCCTGAAACCCACCCCAAAATGTGGGTTCCCGTTCCTCCCCCCCCCCCCCCCCCCACAAAACTCGGTGTGTCCCCTGCCTGGCCATCGTGGAATGTCCCTCTTTGGTTTTTGCCGGTCACCGACTCACCGACTGGAGGATCTTCCTCGGGATGGTTTGGGCTCCTAGAAGACTGGACGGATCAAGATGACCTGGATGACCTGCCGGATCCGGATGACAAAGCTGGACACTTGGCGGAAAACTTGGGTGTGCCTTCTGGAAAAAAAAATCGACTCCTCAAGTTAGGCCCGGGGCCCCGCAGGTGCCCAGATACACCGTTTCTTTTTTGGGGGAGGGCTCCCCTACTAAAATAGACTGCACCAAAAAAAGGTTGGCACCCTTATTCTAAGCTCTCAAATCTGGAGGACCTAGTGAACATGGTGTTCGGTTTTCCGCCTGGTTTCCCTGCCAAACAAGGCCTGCCCTCCAAACAGACCAACTCAGCTGCAAGGATCCCCTTCGCGCGGCCGTGGCATAGGGGTCCCTTTGAAAGGAACATGGTGATGGACCAAATCCATTTCGCACCTTCAGGATTTAGTCCGTAGCTGTCTCTTGTTGAATCAGAAAACTACTGTGGACGAAATCCTGCATCACTTGGAAACCATAACGTTTGTTTGCAGGCGAATCGAATCATTCCAGGGATTCCTAGGTGGTGCAGGACTTCGTCCATCCACAGTAGGCTAAAGGATCCCCCCGTCAGGTTCCATTTGGACAGGAGGTTACGTGGCGATTGTTCATGTCACCAGCTGATAAGGGGCTCGGCTGTCTCCATGTATCCAGAGGGATTTTTGCATGCCACGAACCCCCAGTCAAAGTCCCTTCAGAAGCCCAGAAAGGGTTCCATGTCAATCAAGCAGTGACGATCTGCTTGTGAAGGCCGCTGTTTTTGTTTTTTATGGCCGGGAGGGGGGCGGGGCATGTCTTTGAGGAACTTTGTTTTGCCGTTGCAACAACGCGTGGAAATTTGAACTGGGAAAAAGGGGGCAGGCCGGTTGAAGGTAATAGTTGATTCCTCTTGGAGGCATGCCGGATTTCCTTCAGAGAGGCGATATGACACGTAACATGCATCAAGAAACACGGATAGTTAGCCTGTCTCCTTTTCGGCTGTGGTAGGAGGTCGGTTTATCCCATTATTTGTAGGGTTTCATCTATCCCAAGTGGTGCAGGATTTCGTCCACCCACAGTACCGTGAACAGTGGTCGGACAACCGCCGAATTCCGATGGTGTAGTCTCCAGTAGGATTCTGATCAAGTATTTCCTTATTGAGCCTCATTTTAATCTTGCTCAAACCGAGTTTTAGAGAGCGGCCGTTGGCGGAGATGTGAATTGAGTCCCTAAAACGGAACATAACACTGCGTCTCACGGTGCTTTCTGCTCATGGTATTGCTGGGGCTAGTAGCGAAAAACAATCGATTTTTGGTCTGAACTCTTTCCTTATGAACTCTACCTAATACTAAAATTGCATAGACAGTAATTAGGAAAGACTCCAATCAACGTTTCTATTTTAAGCTAGAAGTTGAACAATGATTATTATGTTTCAAAATACATGGTCAACAGGAGTTCCTTTCCGATATGTGCAAATTAGGAAACAAGCACATCTAAACAACATGTATCTACCTCGAAGTTCTTGCCTTGTGAATCCTACTTGATATATTTGTCAAGTTCTACTCAACTTCTATCTGACATTAAACAGAGTTTGATAAGGACAGCATCCAAATATATGTTCATGTAAATTTGGAGTTGACATAATGACTGTTATGTCTCAAAATACAAGATACACGGGATTTCCATTCGAATAGAATCGTCTTTGCAAATCAGAAAAACATGTAAACATCACCATTCAATTAACAATTGTTGGACCTCTAAGTTGTTTCTTGTGAATTCTACTGAATATAAGTATCAAGTTATACATAGTTCTATCTGACATTTGAAAGACTTTCGAATCCAATCAGAGGACACCATCCCTAGCTTACTGTACTAAGGCTTGGATGTGAACTACATAAAGAGCACTTGAACGCAGAAGCTCATGCAAACAGGCCGGACACGGGAAGAAACGCTCGACAACAAAAAGCAAGATTGCCCCCAAGTCAGGACAGCTGACATAGTCTTGTTTTTTTCGTTTTTGTATATGTTTCTCGTTGTTATTGTTGCATGTTTTGGACGATTGCGAGACACCTAGTGTTCTCTTGTGTTTTCATGAGCACAGACCACATAGCCACCAAAATGCCTCGCGCAGGGTGACCTGCTCTAAAAAGAAGAGTCATTCCTGATAGGGGACCCTTTGCCGGCCACTTTGGAGGTTCCGACAGTTGAACTCATAGCCACATGGGTGAGTCTCAAACAATTTGACTCGGAGCCCCCAAAACGGTTGGCTTCCTGGTGGTTTCCCCTTGGAACCCAACACTTTTCGAAAAACAAAAGAAAAGAGAAAAACAACCCCAAAAAAAACGAAGAACAAAAACAAAAAAGACGGAACCACCGGATGCAGCGGAGGCCTTGTTTTTTCATCCTCAGGCCAGGAGCTGAGCTTGCACGACCTGGGAAGCTGCGAGCCGTGTGTCCTCTCAAGCTCCGTGCGGGGCTGTTTGAAGGGTGAGGCAGGTTCGATCTTGCGATCTTGCTGGGGAGTCCCCTCTTTATATCTCTTTATGTGGGCGGTTAGTCTCTGGGACGGTTTTTTTTGGTTGTACTGTTAGCCTCGGATCTAAGTAAAACCCCTGGTTGATGAATAGGGGGGTGTCCCCTTTTAGTGGGGGTTCAGACCACTTCGGACGGATGTGATTGGCGGGACCGGTCGCTCCCCCTGGGGTCATTCTTCTGACGGATTCTGGACTCGAGTTCTCAAATTCAGAAAATTGAATCGGTGGTTCCCTTGAAAGTCACCACTAAACTCGGGGGTGACTTTGATGGTAGAGGCCAGGCCCCTAAGTCTTTGGCGCGATCGGTGCGATACGAGAGGTGCCCCAGCAGTTGGTCTGGATGGCGAGGGTTCCCGTGTCTAAAATAGACTACAAGAAAAAGTTGGTGCCCTTATTCTAATCTCTCCACTGGAGGACCTAGTGATAGGTAGGGAATGACCTTCCGGGTTTTGGGGAATGAGCCGTTTTGGGCTTCCCTGGAGGGAAATTAAGAAAGGATGGGTTTGTTCTTGGGGTCGTTCCGTGTCTCATTCCCTGCTGAGAACGCTCTGAGAGAAGGCAAGAGGAAAGCAACCCTGTGCTTCCCAATTCCAATGGGTGGCCCCAATTGGCTATGAATGAGAGTTGGAACCTGAAAAGTTGTTGGCGGACCTTTCTATCCCTTTGATGTTTATCACTTCGGTGTCAATTGAACATTTATGCCCCTTTGGGTATGTGTCGCAACAGGAGCCGAGGTGAGAAGAATTGCCAGAACCCCCCCCCCCCCCCGCCGTGGTTATTTTGGACCTTTTCTTGGAGTTAGCAAAGTCAGCTCTTTCTATCCTTCTGCTCGGGGCGTGACTGGTGGCAAGAACATGGGGCCAGTGTTAGGTGCCCATTTCCAGCTGGTCCCCAAGTTGGAGTCGCACCGTACCGTGATTTTCCTGGGGAATGAACTGCTTAGCTGTGGACCCGCTGGAAGCAGCAGCGATGTATGGGCGGACCTTCATGGCCCTCCTAGGGGTTGCGTCCAGCTGGCGTTGAGGTGTAGCCTCTGAATTTTTATAGGAGTTGGATTCACCTGAACAGTGGCGCTGGTGGACACAAGGGTCCTTTTGAACCCAGTAAAAGCCAAGACAAATCCAACTTGGTGGCTCCCAGCCATCCCCTTTTCTCGGGTGATTTAGTGGTGAGTTCCATTCAACCCACAGCTTTTAGTGGGGGATCTGAGGGCAGCCCAGCCAACGGTCCAAACATGGACGTGCCAGGCTTGTCCGTATTGCCACGAGTCCCACGCAGACAAGATGTCCGCACATCGCCCGCGCAAGCAAACCAGGGACAAGTTCAAGCAGTCCGTGAAGGACATCCCGGTACTGCGCGTCAGCGGTTTTTTTTTGTTTTCTCCCCAACAGCTAAAAGCTTTGGGGTCTCAGCCCAGATAGGCTCTGGGGTGGTCCGGGGCCCGGAGGTAAGGTTCCACGAGGGTTCCACCAGGGTTCCACCAGGGTTCCACCATGGTTCCACGGGGCTTCGGGGTGGTGCGAGCACACCAAAGAGCACCGCATGCTGTTGGGGATATCACCTGAGCTTATTTTACATGCGGGGCTCGTCTTTTTGAATATTTAGACCCAATAATGGATTTCAGTACCCTCAAACACAGCCACACACAACTCGATTGTTTTGTTGGCTCAGTCGAAAAGCCAGGGCTCAGTTAGAAACCGTGCGTGTATTTGAATCTTGTGTTTGAGCTTCTGGAATTGAAAGCTTAGATTCGTTGAGTCAAGCCAAGCAATCACTCGGCGGGCAGCGTGACATGGCTCTCGCGCCATGATATCAGAGGCTGAGACTGAGGCGTGGAACTTCACTGCGTGTGCCTTTGGTTTGGGGAACCCTCCACAACCAACCATTTTGGGGTGATTGGCTACTTGTTTTCTTCTCAAGATTGGGGGACCCCGCTTTGGGGTCCACTTTTGAGAAGAAGACAAGTAGCCAAAGCAAAACCGGCAGGGGATTGTTAAAATCAACATCCAGGGACCCCCCCCACCCCGATTTAGCACCCAGGATCACCCGGGCCCCGATTCACCCCGCCAGGGGAGATCTTTGTCTTGGGCCTGCGATGCTCCTAGGGGTACCTTCCCCATTCTTTCCTGGGATCCTTCTTTTCAGGAAACCATCAAGAAGGCAGCCGGTTTGTGAAAAGAACGATGGTTGAAAAGAATGGGGAATCAACCCCTAGAATGTTGGTGTCATTGTTCCCTGTTGAACTTTCAATTGTTTAGTTTCTTGCATTTGTCAGTTGGCAAGGAACATTTCTTTAAGTCTAGAGGCACTCTAAGCGCGACTGGCAATCGGCAACCTGGCGGTCAAATCCGGCGATGGTTTAATTCTCATTCACACGCCTCACGTCTAGCAACATGGACCACTTGGCCCTAAAAGGTGAGGGGTCAAATTTTGTTTCAACCAATCCCTGGCCCCCCATGAAGGGAAATCAAATGGAGGTTGCTGAACCAGGCCATTTCAGTTGAGCTTCCCTGGGTCATGTTCAATTGGAACATTTCTTGGGACCCCTGTTGGGTCAGTCTTGCAAAGGGGTTGGAACTGAAAATACCATTTGGGGGATTGCTCCATGACACACACGTGTGGCAATGTTGCGATTCTCAAGATCCAAGATCCCGGCGCGATTTGTTTGACCGAACATGCAGGGATCAGCATTAGCTACTCTTTTTCCCTGGGGGTTGTTGTAGGGGTTGTCAGATTTGAACGTGGGCCCACATGGCCCACATTAAGATGGATTGGATCAACCGTAGGTTTGGGGGATTGGTCCGTGCAGCAGGTTGTTGAGTTGTGAGGGCTCTCAACATTTCCAAAATTGGAGGACTCCCTAAGAGGATCCTGGGACATCCTTGCTTTGAGGATCGCCCTAAGAGGATCCTCGGACTCCGGAGATTTCTCAGGAGTTGCTGGCGGCCCACAAGGGCGACGTGGAGGAGATCCACGAGAAGTTGCAGGCGCAAGGGGCTCTCTACAAATTTGTCCCGGTCGGTGCTTTGAAACGTGGTTGTGAGCTTCGGGTAATGTTTCCTGCGGAACTCTAAAGTGAAGTTGGATCCCAGTCTTTTTGATTTTTTTTAGAGGGGGAGGCCTGGGTAGTCATTGGCGATGGAACCCATGGAACCCATGAAAGACAGAATTGGATATCGGTTTGTCATATTTTAGGGAAGTCCGTGGTTGTGGTCCAAAGGTCGTTTGCGCCCCATGTCCTTTTTGTGCTTTGGGCTTTCCCTTTGTGTGTGTCGGACGCCGTTTTGCTTCGCTTTTCTTGGTGGCTCCCTTAGCCTTTTAGCTGTTTAGTGTTTAGTGGTAGTTTCCATTTAACCCCCCAAAGTTCGTCACTTTTAGCGGGGCATCGGACATCGGGCCCTTTTTTTGCTCAGGATGAGGCCAGGAAGAGCCCCTACGTGAGGAAGCTGTTACAGGGCTACCTCGACGGGGCTGACAGCGACTTCCTCTTCTTCACGCCGCCGGGGCTGTCTCCGCCGCCGGCCGCGCAGGCAGCGCTGGCGTCGCCGGCGGCCGCGCGGGCGGCGCCGCCAGGGCTGGTGGCACAGCCAGCGCTGGCGGCGCCTGCGCCCTTGGCGACGGTGCCGGAAGGTGGGCGGAGAAGTTCTGCGTTTCTGTTTCGAACATGGGCCAACATCGGAGAAGTTCTTATTCCGGTGCTTTGGGGTTGGCTGCTCTTTCTTGCGAACTCATTGAACGCCACGCAAAAAGAACCGCCCCCACCCCCCCCCCCCCCCCACTTCACCCAAGCTCCGCCCCCCACCTCACCCAGGCCCACATCAGCTTGGCCACGCGGGTGTTCAGTCGCCCGTTCCCTTTGGCCACTTCTCGCGCTGGTGCCTCGCGGGCTGAGCGGAAGCATGCGGGGCTGTGGGTCAAAAATCGGGTAACCCCAAAATGGCTTGCCCTGGTGAATGGAAACAAGGACCAAAACCTGCGGTCCATATCCTGGTGGTTGAATTTTGACCCATACCCATTTCGGCGGGGCTTTCTTTCGGAGCGTGGCGCGCAGTTTCGACACGCTCGGCTTGAAAATCGATCGCTCACAACTTGGGCGAAGAGTAGCCGCCGGAAGCAAGAGAGAAAATCCAGGTGAAAACACAAAAAGAGCTGGAAGCTCGGAAAGGCCTGAGTTGAGCTCGGGAAGGATGGAAGGCAAGGCAAAAACTCCTTTTCGATGGCATTTTCAGAATCGCCCTCAGGTTTTGGTCCTTTTTCTTTTCACCAACCACTTGATAGCTCGCGGGTTAAGAAGGAAGAGACGCCCAGTTGGCCGAAAATTGGGAAAGCTCACCAACCGGCTCCGGCATGCGCAAACCAGATGTGAAATATGCTTTAAACATTTATGGTTTCACCCAGAACCCCAGTGGTGCGCCCTTCTTCATTTTTGGGAGGGGGATTCCTTTTTAGAGCAATTGCAAAAAAAAGGCGTGCCCGTTGTCCCCATGACCACTGGGGGTCTGGGTTATTGTTTCAGCAGCCTTCTTTTGGTTTCCCTTTTGGCAAGAACCCGCCTTGCCCAACCCTGACGTGTGCCCCCCCCCCCCCGGGCAACGTGCGCTTGCACGTGCGGATCCCAGCCAAGCAGTTTTGGGGGTGCTGGGCCCCTTGCTCCGTTTCACCAGCCAGAATGTTGTGCCCAAGGGGCGCAGCCATTTTTCATCGCTCCCTGAGGATTGCTCCCCGCCGACTTCGCTGCAAGTGTCGAAGACTTCTCGGGCTATGGTCCAAACTGTGGACATTGATTTCAATTGAACATTAGGATACGTCGCAAATGGATTTTGGGGGGGGGCTTCTGATAAATGGGACTTCCGATCCTTCGAACACGAGCAGGTAGCTTTTTGCCTGCATGGGCCCTGCAAAGGGACCCCGACAGCAGGTGCGTAAAGTGAAAGGTGCGCTGGGGCAGCAACTGTTGACTGACCCCAAAACGAGGTGATTTTCTTCGTCCCTTGGACGAAAGCCTTTTTGCACCATTCAAAACGTAACGGAATGACTCGATTCCCCAACGTAAATACCAACTGCCCACGGTTTCCCATGGTTTCAAAGTGGTGCAGGATTTTGTCCATCCACAGTATGCCCCGTCAGTTGATGTTTGAGCTACTTACCGCCTGAGGGAACTTTGGCTTGTTCCCCGCACTTATTGCTCGAGTCAGCTTTCTTCTAGTTGGTGTCTTGGTTTGGCGGTTTGGTGGAGGTTAGGGCTGGGTTCCCATTTATCCTCTACAAACGCCAAGGGTTCAAATCCAAATCCAAACCACCAATCCAAACCACCGAAAAAGTGGTGGTCATCCAAGGTCTGGGCATTGTTTGTGACCTATTTGACTACTATTTGACTACTGTGGATGGTTGCGAGTCATCCGTCTCGCACCACAGAAATGAAACCTTGTTGGTATTTACCGGAAATCGAATCATTCCAGGGTTCCGTAGGTGCTTGATGCTACCCTCTTTGGGGGGTTCAAGCGCAAGTTTTTGTTCCGTTTAAAGACACCTACTGTATATTCCCTGAAGAGAGCAACCAGTCTAATTTGTTCCAGGGAAAATCCTTCTAAGCTTCCATTTGGCCCAAGTTCGCCAAGGTGCCAAGTTGCTGTGTGGGGATATCACCTGGGGCTTACTTTTGGTGCCAACTCTTTTATTCGGTCCTCGATTCTGAAGGGAACACCTTCTCCGGAAAAGAGGGACCCCCCCCCCAAGGTGTGTCAGCTGAAAAGCTTTGGCGTCGATGGGCTCAAATAAGCTCTCGGGTGGTTTGGAGCAGTGCATATTCACTCTGGTCGTTTATGGGATTATGTTTGACCATCTACGGAATGCTGCATTGACACATTTGTTCAATCATATTTGTGTATGATAGGTGTAGACATGTACCATTAGGTGTTAATGCGTTGGGTCTATGTCCAAGTATATACAATGATTCTACCTAGGAACTTCTAAAATATATTAGCACAAAGCTGTTCTGCTCGCCTTTTTTGAGGGTACCTCTTTTTGGTGCTTTTATTTTGGGACACCAAAAAGTCAACCGAGATGTATGTTGGGGGTCCCAATCCAAAAAGAAAGGGGGGCATGCATCCAAATGGGTTCAATTCCCTTTATCATCTTTGGGCTCACCTCTCTGACTTGAGGCGACCCCGAAGTTCGGAAATCGATTCGACCGGTTTCCGGGCATTCCAAAGTTATGAAATCACTAAGGGGGAGGTGGTACAAGGGATGGGCAGTTTGCGAAGCCCAGGGTTCCTCAGGGTTCCTCGGGGTTCCTTACATTCCTTGGAGGTCCTTGAAGCTCCTTCGGGTTCCTTAGGGGTTTTTGAGGGTTCCCCAGGTTCCTTAGCAAAAACCCTTTGGGAGCCTTCGGGAACCCCACCCCGTGGGACGACTTGGGGATTCTGCCAGACAGGGGGGTTTCTTTTTTGGCGGCTGAGGATTTGGTCGGGGTTCTGCATAGGGCTTTTTCCTCCAGGGCGAGGTGAAGAAAAACCAACACTAATGCAGGTCCCCTAAAGCCCCCTTCAACGAAAGTTCCCAATGATGCTGGGGGGTTTAACAAAACGCTTGATCACCCTTTTCTGAGTCCCTAAAGGGGCAAGTCTGGCAAATTGGCCCACCGATGTGGCGAAGCGAATGAGTTCAGGGTGTGCCATCGTTCGGTAAGCCTCAAGTGGTTTGGAGCCCGTTGGCTTAGGGATTTGAACTGCTTTTGTAGAGAGCCCCTCCTGAGTTGGCCGTGGTTGTCAAAACCGTTTTGGCACCAGTTTGGGGGTGCACCACCCATTTTAGGACCTATTTTAGTGGTTGGATTGGGATGTTCACCGGGGGTACGATTTGGATTTTGACCCATGGCCAGTTCACAACAGCCAAAATCCAAAGCACCAATTGGAGGGAAGCTGATATTTGTTGGATGACTGATTGTGACTCTATTGCCCTGTCGATTCCTTTGGGCAAGTGGGGCTTGCGCAGACCAGGGTCACCTGTTTGACGCACAAGGAGGAAGCGGATGTCGGAGCCACCGCGGCGGGTGACGCAGGAAAGCTGGGAGTACCCGCTCAGCAGAGAGGACGAACCCGCAAAACGAGCAGGGATTTTCTGCTTGGGGATTTTTCTACTTCAAAGAGCCAGGCCAGGTTCAGTCGATATTTTCCCCTTTGCCAGGGTTCCATCTTGGGCTAGTCTTCAGCCTTGAGCCGTACCCAGCTCATAGTGACTACGAGCGACTCACATTTTGGGGCCATAACTTTCCCATGGCTCCTCTGGCTCAGAATCAATGGAGGAAACGTATGAACAAAAATGGTGGGTTGGGAGGCTAGGTTTGATCTCTGGAACATTGTTGAATGTCTCCAGACCGGGGTTTCACAAAGACGCAATCCAGCTTTTGGGAATTTGGAATTGCAACTAGCGGCAGGGTTTCGTGAAGCACAAGGCATGGGCAATGTCATTTGTAGGTGTTCGCCTCTGGCCATTTTCTTATTCGGCCTCCACCAAGTGAACCCTGGGGCTGTTTGGGAGTCCGAGTCATGAAATTGATGCTGCAAGACTACTGTTAATCTTTCCGTATATTGATTTTTGAAGCTCTCGGATATATCGCCCTTAGGATTATTAGTTGAACATGTTATGAACATTGCCTGCTGTCTGTGGTCTTTGGCTTTGACCTGAGTCCGAGTCGATTGGGCTTCCCTTCAGCTGAAAGAATGGAGCTTTGGGTCCAGAATTCTGGGTCCTGGTTGGGGCGATCGGTGCGGTGTTTCAACTTTTTGTTGAAGTGACACGGTTAGCATCTAAGAAACCGGGGCAGCCTCACGACAATAGGAAATGGTAGGGTTTGGTAGATGGAGCGGCCCAAGCAGTTGTGGGTTGGCCCCGAAGGGACCCCGCGCTTGCCGCGCTCCCAGGGGCCTTTTGGTTGGATTCCATGGGAGTTGTGGGGGAAAAGGTCCCATTTAACCCCTCCAAAAGTGATAAATCCCCGCTAAAACCAGGAGCACCCCATCTTCATAATCAGGGGTTTATTATTCCGGGGTCGTCATTCGGTTTGTCTAAACCAGGGGAACTGGAGCTTCCCCCAAAATGGATTTCGGCTGAAAACCGCGGGGTTTCCGCCTTTCAAACCACCAGATTGCCCGGGCACCGCTCCTCGAAAGGATCAACCCAGATCGTTTGGAGAGGCCGAGTTAGCAGCTCCACCCATGTCGCCCATGTTGCCCATGTTGCCCATGTCACCCATGTCACCCATGTCACCCATGTCACCCATGTCACCCCACTTCACCCATTTGGCTCGACTGAAATTCGAGGAGAAGAAGTACAGAGTCATGTGCCTCTTTGAGCAGGAGTTGGCCGAGGCAAAAGCAAATCCGGCAGATTTGATTGCTCATCGCATGGCCAGGTGGGTTTGTCTCCTTGAGGGTTCGTTCCGTGGGCTGTTTTGAGGCCTGGCATCTTCCCCAAAGGCGTTTCCCTTCAGAGCCAGGGGTTTTGAATGTTTTCCACGGGGGGAGACCCACATCATGGGCTTTTAGAGTCTAGAGGCCACTTGTCACTGAAACTCCAGCTGCGGCACCAGCCTTCAGCTTAAGGGCGCCATGGTGGACGTATCCAGTGGGAGCTAGCCACCTCTGTGACTTCTCAAGGATCACTTCTCCGAAGAGTCATCCCTCCCTGTAACTCCAGTCCGAGGTTCTCAAGAGACCTCAGACTAGGGCGAGTACCTGCATCCCAGCAAAGAGCAGTTGCTGAGTTGAGCAATCCTACGAAAGAATGCCCTTTCTCCCACAGCACTGTGGGGAGAACCCTCCACCGCATTAAGTGGCTAGTCCTGAGGAAATCCTTTCGGGGCTTGTAAAGGGAAACCAATCCAAAAGCCTCTTTTTATGGGTCCACAGAACGCGCACGGCGGTTTAGTTCGCTAAGAATGGCGTCCCTAAGAATGGCTTTGGTGTCCTTGTTGGTTTCCCATTACCCACCAGCCAAATGGGGTGCCTCTTGACAAAACAGTTATTTTTTTGGCAAAGCAAGTTGGACAATGCCTGGTTCACGAATAGTTGCTCCCGAAGCATTTGAGCCATTGACGGGGATTGATGGGGTTTGGTTTTGGACCTCAACTGTGGAAACGGTCCCATCCGGGGGTAAGTACCATCAGGGGGTGGATAGGTGAGAGCCCGTTTTGGGTTCGTTGGCTTTAGGGGACGCCTCCACCCTCCTCCCAAAACCATGACTCAAGGGCCTTTAGAGGACCCAAGACCGATACCCTTCGAGGGCCGGTGACTTTGGCGGGGCTGATGGGTTCATTTTTGGCAAACTAATGCAAAACTGATCTTTTTATCCTAAACATGTGCTCCATTTGCCGGAGTTACGGCAAGGAAGTGTCAATTCACAGTGGTGCATTAGTTATTCGTATTATTGTAACCTTGCTGTCAAAAAACCATTTGACCATTATTTTGTTGAACAGTTTTCGCCATGACCCCAACAGAATTACCCTGTATGTTTGGGTCCTGGCAACTGAGCTGACGGGACATCGCCTCTGTAACTTCCTCCCACCAGCTCCTTCGCGGGGAAAACCAATGCTGCGCCCCAAGCCGTCGAGGACTCACTCCCGATTTCCGGTTTGGGAATCGTGGTACCCTCTGGTTTTGATTCAAGAGAGCGCTATGGTGGACGAATTCTGTAATCAGGAAGCAAGGGGGACCCTCTGAATTCCATCACGTTTTGCGGCTGTGTTTTATTAAAGGAGGGGTGCATCATGTGTCTTCGGGAACCCCTGTTCGGTTGATGTTAAAGAGAAACCAACAAAAATCAACGATTTTGGGGGGTTGCCCGATTTTGAGACACGCCCACTCTTGCCATATGTTTTGGGCAATTTGCTGTAGCTTCAGCATTGGGTCAGGAAACAAATCTACGGGCACTTGTAACCTTCCCAAACCAAACTCGGCGACTCCAGGGGCCCCGAATAGTGGTTGAAGGCGCAAAAAGCATCAGGTAAGAAAACAAGCATAGGTGTGGGTTTTTGGTTAGTTTGTTCGAAAAATCCTGGTATACGTGGTGGTTCAATCATGTACCAGGGAAACCCATCTATTTGCCGAGGAGCACCGGCCTGTTTTTCTTGGAGAAAGCCCACAGCAGGAACAATCAGCTGGTTGGTTTCCCTTGAGCGCTTTTCCGGTTGACCAGGTTTTCGAATGGCGTCCGGCGACTTGACCCCCTTGCCAAAAAATCTTGCCTGACAGGGGGGGTAATGTTGACCCAGGATTAGTAAACACGAAACCCAGTATTAGGGGGGTGGAAACCCTCCAAAAGTGGTCTGAATCCAACCACTAAAAGGAATTGGACACTTCCCAATCAAAATCAACCAGGGGTTCTGCTGAATCCGGGGTTAACATTACCCCATTGCTTTGGGTTGATCTCCTTGGGCCGTCCCTTTAAAACAACGTCCAACAAGGTACTCAGTCACCAGGGTGAACATTCACCGGGGCAACCGGTGAGGCGAAGCAGTCCGGGGAAGAAGAAGAGCAAGCCATGGAAGTGCGGATCCCATCAGCTCCGCAGGAAGTGGTCTCTCTTGTTACGGGAAGCCACGAATGAATGTCTTACACATACATATATATATATATAGAGAGAGCACATACACATATATATATATATTATATATATATATATGTATATCCACACACACACATACGTACGTACATGCATACATGAGGGAAACCGGGTCCCTATGCTGGTGAGCCCGTTGGTTTGGGGGTTTGAAGCTGATATGCCGTGAACTTTCAATCGGGTCTTTTGGAAAAACATCATGTTGCTTTTCATTTGTGTGCACCATCCACTTTAGAGGCTTCATCTTAAAATCAAAATTCATTGCCGCACATGGGGCTGAATAGTTGCACATTTGCCCAAGGCAACTTGGGTGAATAGTACCTCGTTATCGCATGGCCCTTACACAGAAAGCCCCAGACCTCATTTTTTCCTCTGACCACTTTGCAAGTGAGACATATCCCCAGTGAATAAGTCCCCTGTGAATCCCTAGTTAAGAAGTTGGCTAGGTGGGATCTACCCCACATCTAACTCACTTGCGACTGATCAACTGAAAACATTAGTAGCCACCAAATGGGGGTGGACATCCAATTGAAGACGGTGTGTGCAGGAAGGCTTCTGAGCTCACTTCTTTTTCCAGCGAATCGGCCCCTCCGAAGAAAAAGCACAAACTTTTGTGGTCTCAGAAAAAGACACCCATCTTGTTTAATTTCGGGGTGGACCAGTTTTATGCTACCAACAAGCTTCACTTCTGGGTCCTTTGGTTGCAACTGAATTCACCTCCATGGGAATTTGATGACTCTCAGGATGCAAGGGGCCTCTATTTGGAGGTGCCATCCTTGCAAATGGGCGCAGTGCGTCCACAATATTTTGTTTCTATTGGCTTTTGGTAGCCAATTTGAAGCGCACTTCCCTGTGGGGTGATGTTTGTAGGTGATTGCCGCGTCTGTAGAAAGACATGCGCGTGTCGGTTTTTGGTGGTACCCCTTTTTGGGTGAAGTTTTAAAGAAAAGGACACCATCCGTTTTATTTATCTCTTTTTTTCATGGGGGGTGATTCCCATTTTGAGACAAGCCCATATGGGAGAAACTCCCAATTTTTGGGATATGACTCTTGGTCCCCTTGGTTGAAGTTGGAGGCACGCCATTTGTGCTTGCGCCATCGGACTTCAAGCAAAAAAGCCGCGGGGCTTATGGCGTGGAAGGCCCCCAAAGGCCCCCTAGATCTTCTGATCTGCCGAGATCCGTGAGGGGGCGTCCCTTTTGGTGATTTTCGGGGTACCGTGGGGCTGGGGCCAACGTTAGGGGTAAGCCAAAGCCAGGCCTTTTTCACTTCGTTTTTTTCTTCTTCTTCTTCTTCTGAGCAGTCCACTCAAGTGAGATGTCTTTTGTGCGGGTGTCCGTGAATCTCATCGATCTGCCAGCGGCTTTGGGTAAGTTTTTCCAACCTGGGTTGTCCTTTTTCCAAGACTCGGAAAATTCAAGGAGCAAGCGGGGGAGGAGGCTGGGAATCTCGAGGCCCGTAAAAAAGGGTCCAAAGATGAAAGGTCGCCAGATTTTCGCGTAGCTGTTTCGCTTCTTGCCCTTGTGATTTTGCACATTTTTTCCTGGTTCCACGTCTTCGGCTGTATCCGTGCCCCCAGAGGCAAGTAAGTAAGGAGCAAGTAAGTAAGGACAAGCCTGGCAACCATCGTTTGGTCGCTATGAGCCATGGATGACGCCGACCCAGAACTGCAGGCCCGGCCCGAGACAGCTGCCAGATGGGGTCAGATGAGTCACGTGCTCAAAACCCGGGCAAGCGAAGGTTGGTACAGGGACAATCCCAACCATAGCCGCGGCCGCCTTCTTAGTTCTTTACAGGGTTCTAGGTCGACCATTTTAGTACCGGGTCTTGAGTATGACTCAGATAGCCACGCCCTCCCACAAGTCAATATGAGTGGCCACAACCTATTCGACTGGGCGTGGTAGATGGCCTGGGTCCCCCTGCTATGTGCCCTTTTACCGTTTCTTTTTTGGGGGGAGGGTTCCCCTACTAAAATAGACCACATAAACAAGTTGGTATCCTTATTCTAACTCTCTACTGGAGGACCTAGTGGCCCTACCTGGGTTTATTTGGTGTTCTACACATGAAGACATGCCTTTGACAGGGGTTCCTGTCCACTTCCTTGAGGAAGGGAATCGACCCGAGTTTGGAATGGGGCTCTGGGAATGGTCCAAACTTCACGCTGACCATCCCTTGTTTGCTTTGGTATCTGGGTGTGTCATTTTTTGGGAGGGGACTCTTTTGTCAAGAATGAAGCCAACAGCATCCATTTCATGAATAGTTTCCACTTGAGATGGCTTTGAAGGTCGATATTTCGAGGAGTCTGCCTTGAGAGGGAACTTTTGATTGGGCAGGGGTTGACTAGAGATGGACCTTACCGCATATGATGCAGCGAGGAGTCTTCTCTTGGTGTCTCTTTCGATACAAATAAAGGCTTACCCTGCAATAAAACACGCGCGCACGTGCCATGATCACAAACGCTACTTATAGGGATTCGCAGATTCCTATCCAGCCAGGGACCCTTTCGGGCGATTTTTTATGGGTTCCAATCACTTTTGTGCTTTTCCGCATCCGAAAGCCCATACCCATTTCAACGGGTCACACAAATACCCTCACCATCCCTTCACAGGTTAGCCCTTGGATCGACTCCCGCATCCATGACCAGCTTGCTTGCCAAGCAGTTGGCATGCATCACCACTTTTTTGGTGACCCCCCCCCCCCCCAAACCCTTTTTCCCCCCCCCCCCCCCCGCCCCCTGCACAAAGGGATTTTACGAAGGAAAGTCGGGGGTTTTGGCCAAGAAAGGAGCCGACACCGGGCAGAATTCTGGGTACCCAAAAAAAAGGCCCCGTTTCACTTGGCACCCCCTGGCCGCCCCGTGCGCAGGCCGCCCTCGCCCTGTCGCGGGCCGAGCTCCCGGCGCCCAGGCGACTTGGGGGCCGAGCCTGGCTTAGGAGGAAGCCAAAGATGCAGAGAGAGTTCTGGTTGTTTTCACGCATCCAGGTGTGGTTTTGTGTTTTTGTCCATTCGGTAATGGTGACTGGTTTTGTTTTTAGGTGGTGACTCCAGGTGTGGTTTTTGTTTTTAATTCGGTAGTGGTGACCCCGGATCGAAGTAGAACCCGGTCCTATGGAGGGGAGTGGTTTTTGTCCAGAAGTGATCTGGTTTCGCACTAAACAGAACACCCCCATGTTAGTCAACCAGGCGCTTATTCATCTGGGGTTCCCATTAGGTCGGTTTGGTTGAAGGATGGTGCTGGTTGCAGTTGGGTTCTAAACACTTGCCACAACCTATGGCTGTGGCTGATTACCCAATCACAGAGGGGGCCACACACACACACACATTTCCTACAACCAGGAATTCATGCCCAATTTGCAGCTGCCCCGTTTGGGGGGGGTGGGGGGGAATGGTAGCTTGTCGGCGGCTGTGACTTCTTGGGTTTGACCAAGCCTTTGTTTGAACCACGGTTTCGGCCACTCGAAGAACCTCCGGTGGGTTGTTCTTTGCAGTACCCAGACCCCTTGGTTGGAGACCCCTTCGAGAAGCTGGTTGCTTTGTCAGCTTGCTTGTCGACCCGTCACGGTTGGTGGGTTGAAGCAGTGGCTTGGACGACGACTTTTCACTTGGGAAGTGGTGAAATATGAATTGCGCTGCTGATGGGGACAACAACTGGCTGGGATGGATGAACCCCGATTTGATATGGACTGGTGCAGAATTGTGTCCATCCATTACCATCCCCTGGGATATCAACCACTGACGTGGGTTGGCCATCGGAGTGCAGGCATGAGGACGAGCTGGAACGCGCCATTGCGGCTTCTCTGCGGCGAGGCCGCATTGGCTTGCATCGAGGCGTTGGCGGTTTTGATGCGCAGGGCGTGGCCGGTGCAGGGTGGGGCTGTGTGGGTTCGTCGCTTTGGCTCGTTGCCAACGGAAAATTGGCTTCTTTCTTGGGCCATACTGCTGGTTCATGCATGCCCCAAGTTGATCTGCACCGTGTCAGACTGAACTCACCTCATTCCTTCAGTTTCCCTCATCTCAGCCACTTCCGTCCACCTTGGTCTAAGTCCATCCGGCAAGGGTAGCAGGGTAAGAGCACTGGGTGCAGGTTTGATCTTGGTAACAAAGTTATCCTGCTTGCTGTTGAAACTTTGAGTCATCCCCTTTGCTTGCCCACAACAAGGGAGTTGTGTCATCACGGTCACCCTGTGGACAACCTGCAATCGGAAAAAACAAGTGACTCGCCGTGTTTCAGATGTCATCATTGTTTTGTCCCTCCCGCCGGACTTCTCCCAGAGAGCCCAGCCCAGTGTCTTATCCAAACGCGGTTGGAAAAGAGAAGGATTCCTCTTTGAGGTATGCCAAAGAAAACTTCTCAAGGGACTCTTGAATCTTGAATCTGGGCAAATTATCATTCATTCATGTCCACTCTGCTTCATTCGAGAGCCTGGTTCCAATCAACGAAAGAATTCCGTTTCATTCGGTTTCATTTGGGCGGAGATGTTCAGATTGTCTTTGATCTTGCGCCCTTGTTTGATGCTGTCAGAGCCCAGAGCCCCAAAGGGCAAAAACACAGCAAATACAAGTGAGTCGGTCCCTGGGGGGGAGGGGGCACCATTTCTATATATTGTGTATATATATATATAGATATATTGTGTGTAAATGTCACCCAAAGGCAAATGGAAACTTTTGAATTGGCAACCGTGCGGTGAGAAAACGCCGCCCAGGCAGAAATGGAAGTTTGAACTGCCTGCGAGTGAAGCAGCTTTTGTACGGGTCCAGGCTTGTGCGTCCCCTTTGAAGGAGGCTTGGTGAACGTCTGGATTGGCCAAACATGCTCATGTATTATACCACCAAACTGCTTTTCTCAAATAGTTCAAAGTCTTCAGGAGCTCAAGAAGTGAGACGTACACCAAAAATCGAAGTGAGTGAGTGACATGTCACTATCATCTTGAGAAGGGCAGGGATACAAGTGGTTGCACAACTTTTGCCCAGAGAGGTCCTTTGGGACAAGTCTTCAATGTTGAATCTGAGTGACTGAACTTACATTCGTTTTGATTCCGGTGGAAGGGGTACAGATTCAGGACTACCAGGCAGAACCCTTTTCAGGGAATTTTGCAATTTTATCCCCGGACCCTGTATGAAGTTTTTGGTTTCATTCGGGGGCGGAGGGTTTATTCGAGGTTTGGTCCAGTCCGAGTTGAGGGCTCCTTGGTTCTAGTCCTAGTTTGGCCCTAGTCCCCTGAAATAGTCAGAAACTACAAAGGAACTTATAGAGGAAACATGCACTTGACATGGAACAATTCTCTGAGAACAAGCCCAGAGCTCATTGGTAGCGCATGCATACACATGCATGCCATGCAGACAGGCAGACAGGCAGACAGGCAGACAGGCAGACAGGCAGACAGGCAGACGGGCAGACAGGCAGACGGGCAGACGGGCAGACGGGCCAGACAGGCAGACAGGCAGACAGGCAGACGGGCAGACAGGCAGACGGGCAGACGGGCAGACGGGCAGACGGGCAGACGGGCAGACGGGCAGACGGGCAGACGGGCAGACGAGCAGACAGGCAGACGGGCAGACGCAGACGGGCAGACGGGCAGACGGGCACACGGGCAGATAGGCAGACGGGCAGACGGGCAGACGGGCACACGGGCAGAATGCAGACGGGCAGACAGGCAGACGGGCAGACAGGCAGACGGGCAGACAGGCAGACGGGCAGACAGGCAGACGGGCAGACGGGCAGACGGGCAGACGGGCAGACGGGCAGACGGGCAGACGGGCAGACGGGCAGACGGGCAGACGGGCAGACGGGCAGACGGGCAGACGGGCAGACAGGCAGACAGGCAGACAGGCAGACAGGCAGACAGGCAGACAGGCAGACAGGCAGACAGGCAGGCAGGCAGACAGATGGGATCGGCTAGCCCGAGGCTGGAGGCAGCGCCGGAGCGTACCCCCTCGCACGCCTCAGAGGCTTGGGGCCAAAGGAAGGCTGAAGATAGCTTGGTCCCTTTCTAAACTCTAAACTCACGTGGGAGCCCCCTGCTGTTTCCCCGAATCAAGGGCTGAATAATGAGATTTAGTTTTATGGCGCCCCACCCCCACCCCCCCCCCCCGGTCCCCTCCCCATTCTAATTCATTAGCAGGTAGACTGTGCTAGTGCTTTGCGGCTCTAGGTCTGGCATGAGACACACCGGTGATATTTAGCTTCCAACTTAGAGTCGTGCGTTTTGCCTTGAACGGTGCATGTCCTATCAGCCTTGTACGTTGGAATTCGTGAATCGGTTTAGGGAAACCAACAGGACAGCCGCCATTTTGTGTGTCCTCAAGGGAAAAGCGCACACACAGGTAGAGCCAAGCAGGGACTCAGCTCTTGTAATTGGTGCGGATACCTACTTGAAAATTGCCTCCTGCCGAGTTGAAGGATCAGCCGGCGATTTTACGCAAGCAAATCATTGTTGTTGCGACACCGAGCTCATGCATCACTTTATGGTGATTTGCCGCACACTGGTTCGGTTGAAAACGTTCCGTCGTGTTCGCCGGTGACCTCCCTTTTCTTTTGAACCACAACAAAAGAGGGGGCTCCCTCAAAAGAAGCACCCATGTAAGGCCGCAAACTGGTTTCAACCGTGGCACTCGCCAAAGAGACAGCCATTTTTCGTGCAGGATGTACTTCGAGCGCTGCAGCTGTCGCAGGAGGAGCGAGGAGTGTCGCTGGAGCCCGCTTTGGCATTTGCGGGGTCTCCTCCACAACCAGCTGGCATTTTAGGGTCATGTTGACCCCGGATCTGAGTAGAACCCGTCGAATTTACAGGGCTGTCGCCCACATTGCCACTATGCATCTGGGATCAGCTGGGGCCAAGTTTGGGGCCCGAGAGCCTGGAAGCTCTTTGACAGCGACAGGAAATGACGTCGAAACCTGCTGCTTTTCAACTTAACCTTTCAGCTGGGAATAACTTACGAACCCAGAGGTACGGATTTTTTTCATGACATGGGACCTACAAAAGAGGGGGGTTTGGGTCGCGAAACCTTGTGAAGGCCACCGAGGGAGTCGCAAACATTTGAGACCCTGGCGGTTCGCCAACTTTTGCGGAAGCGGGTGTGCACCAACCACACTCAACCACAAAACCATGCCAACTCACGGTAAACTAAAGGGTTTCCTGGTCACGTCACTTGGCAATATTTAGGGCATGAATACCTCGCAATAATCCGGCGGAAACTGGTTGAGGTTTCGACGCGGCAAGTGCCAGCTTCGCCCAAAGTTGAACATCAATTGGGCGTGTCTCAAATAGGGAACCCCGCCCCCGCAAAAAAGGTTGGTTTCCGAAGGGTTTCCCTTGAAACCAGCCCCAAAAGCCTTGTTGGGGCAGATTCTGATGAAGCTCCCATTGGAAGGGACCTAAACAACAAGAAAAACGACCTCGTCCCCCGGCATGCTTATTGCCCGGGCCAAACCGTGGAAGCGAAGCGAAGCGGCAGCTTTCGGGTTTTGCATCTCGGGGTTGTTTCTGAGAATGCTGCGGATGGGGATTATCCGTCACTGTTCCACAGTTCAGGTTTATCCTGTAGCACCCGTGACCCGTAATTCCCTCTACATGGTTGTGGTTGGGAAACATTTTACATGTTTGCTTCTTGTGGTTTAGTGGTTGAAATCCAACCACTTAACTGCTATTTTTTTCTCAATTTTTGCTCCCCTTCCATCGTCAACCAAGACCTCTGCCATACTCTAGCTGAAAAAACATTCGATCGCCTCAAGGTTGAGCCATTTTTTTTAGCAACTGAGAAATCCATCCAACGCACCGTGAGGGGTCAGACCCTGGAAAGATTCGACGGCCCTCTTTACCAACAAGCAGTGGTAACCACCATCAGTAGGGATTCCGGGATACCCCAAAATTGGGATGTTTTCCTTTGGCTTCCCTTTAACCCCAAAAGGTACTCCCTACAGAAAGACACACCCAACGGCCGTGGTGTGCTCTTCGCAAGTGAACATAGAAGCCCAAGCTGTTTCAACATGTACCTCCCGTCCTTGGCTTTGTGGTGGACATGAACCAAGTGGCTCCTTTCTCAAGGGATCTTAGAGCGATTTTGCTCAAAGGGAAGATTTTCTGCCAGAAGGCCCAATCTAAGAAATGAGCCACAACCGAACCCGAGAAAAAGTCTTGGTTTGCCTTCTAATTGGCGGCATGTTGCCAGCCTGATGTGGACTCACACATCCTTTCTTTGCGGCTGCATCTCTCATAGCAGACTCCTGTTGAAAAGGCACGGGCTCCCTTTTTTTTTCACCCTCCGAAGTTGTTTTTTTAACCCTTCCTTTTTTTTTCAACCCTCAAACCCTGCTTGGAACCATCTGTTGGGAACCTTGTTTCTCCAACCCTGAGAAATCCTTTCTTTTCAACCCATCACCTTGTTTTTTTCACCCTCTGCCTTGTTTTTTTCACCCTCCGCCTTGTTTTTTTCACCCTCCGCCTTGTTTTTTTTCACCCGCGAGCTTGCTTGTTTCACCCCGCAACCTTGTTTTTCTCACCCCAAACCTAAAACAACCTAAGCCCGCCCCACACCCAACACAAACCAACCCTAGGCCCACCCTAAGCCAAACCTTGCCAACCCTCAAACCAGCCAAAATCTAAATCAATCTCAAACCAGCCAAACACGCCCAAACCCACCCCACTAAATCACGCTAAACAAGCCCTAAGCAAACCAGAAACATCTCTTGTCCAACCCTAAACCCACCCCAAGCCAAGCTACACCCACCCTACACCACCACTGACCTACTCGAAACCACCCTAAAGCATACATAACCCACCCGACCCTAAACCAACCCTAAATCAACAAACTAAACCAACCCTAAACCAACAAGCCAGTCCTGAACCCACCCTAAACCCACCCTACACGAACTCTAAACCTGCCCGAACCTTGATCCAACCGTAATCCCACCCCACACCTTAAGCTTAGCCTAAGCCAACAATAAACCCACCCTAAACCCAGCTAAACCCCAATCCCACCCTAATCTAGCTTTAACGCAACCCCAAGCCCAACCTAAACCAACCCTGAACAGACCCACCGACCCAAAACCAACCCACCCTAAAACGATCCTAAGCCAATCCTAGCCCAATTTTAAACCCACTCTATACCGAGCTTTAACCAATCCCAAACCACCCCGAAAACCAACCTTAAAGTCAAGCCCAGCAAAAACCAACCCTAAACCAACCTTGCCCCCACCCTAAACTCACCCAAAAGCAATCCACACTAAATTCAAAAACCAACCTGGGCCCTGACCAACCCTGAGCCACTCCAAACCAACCCTAAACCAACCATAAGCCCACCCTGTACCAACCATGAATCCACCCTGATCCAACTCTAAGCGCACCCTGAGACTCTAAGCTGAGCTTGACCCAACCCTAAATCCAGTGAAGCCAACCCTAGGCCAACCGCAAAACCAATCCACATCCAAGCCGAAACCAACCGCAAACCCCACCCTAAACCATCCCAGACCAACCCTGAACCAACCTACATTTAAAAACCCTAAGCCCACCTGAAACCAAGCCACCCCAAATCAACCCTAAGCCACCCTTGAGCGACCCCAAGGCTCCCCTAGCGCAACCCCAACGCCACCCTAGACATGGACAGGGGGGACATGCCGCGAGGAAATAAAGAGCTTGCGGGGAAATAAAAAATCAATAAGATCAGAAATAAGCAAATGCGTGCGCAAAAATATGCAGAACATGCAGGAAAATAAAACGCACCTGCAAAAAGATAAGCAAGCCCGCACAATCACTTCAGCCAAACGACCTAGTAATTAATTAAGTCTTGGCTTACCATTCCGAGTGACCTAGTCATCAACAAACACGCGCGCAGAATTAAATGGATTGTGCAAGAAAATAAAACACACAACACAAAGAACTAGGTTTATTTTCTAGCTGGATCCAGTCCGGTCCTGTCCGGTCCACGGTCCGTCCGGTCGGTCTGGTCCGTGCGGGGCTTACAAAGCTGAGTGACCTAGTCATCAACAAACACGCGCGCAGAAATAAATGGATAGGCCGTGTCTTTTGTGTTTTTTAGTTGTTAGGTTTTTCAATGTTATGGTACGTACATACATATATACATACCTACCTACCTACATACCACCTACCTACATACCTACCTACATACCTGCCTACCTACATACATACGTACACACATAGAATCGTAACGTGACATACCACCTACCTACATACCTACCTACATACCTACCTACATACATGCATGCATACAAACATGCATACATACATACATACACACATGCATACACACATCCATACATACAGAAATACATACATACATACATACATACATACATACATACATACATACATACATACATACATACATACATACATACATACATCCATGCATACATGCATACATACATACATACATACATACATACATACATACATACATACATACATACACACAGACATAGAATACATACATACACACAGACATAGAATACATAAATACATGCATGCATGCATACATACATACATACATACATACACGTACATACACACATATAAATACACACATACAGACACATACACATACAGACACATACACATACATACATACATACATACATACATACATAATTACATACATGCATTCATACATTCATTCATTCATTAATTCATTCATTCATTCATTCATTTATTCATGCATGCATTCATTCATTCATTCATTCGCTCATTCATTCATTCACTCACTCATTCATTCATTCATTCATTCATTCATTCATTCATTCATTCATTCATTCATTCATTCATTCATTCAGTCATTCATTCATTCATTCATTCATTCAGTCATTCCATGCATACATACATACATACATACATACATACATACATACATACATACATACATACATACATCATATACACACATACATACATACATGCATACATACATACATACATACATACATACATACATACATACATACATACATACATACATACATACATACATACATACATACATACATACATACATACATACATGCATACATACATACATGCATGCATGCATGCATGCATGCATGCATACATACACACATACATACATACATACCTACCTGCATACATACATGCACGCAATGCATTGCATTGCGTTACATTACATTGCAATACATTACATACACCTACACACACACATACATGCATGCATACATACATCAAACATACATACATGTAAATATTTGCAAGGAGAGTAAGACACCCTTTGGTGAATCATAACTTCCTCGGACATAATTGGGGGGTGCGCCTGCCTTCTCCCCAACCCCCCCGCTGGTTTTTGGAACGTATGCAGATATTAAGGCACCCTTTATTGAACCGTCGCTTCTTCGAACATGATGGCCCCCCAAACCCTCCCCCCCGGTTGCTTTTTACACTGATTACAAAGATTCAGGCACCCTTTGCTGAATCATCACTTCTTCGAACATTATGCCGGCCCCCTCCCCCAACCCTTAGGAATCATCACTTAATCGAACATCATCCCCCCCTACCCCCCGCTGGCTTTTAGAATGTTTGCAGAGATTAAGGCACCCCTTCTTGCATCATTACTTCTTCGAACCCCCCCCCCACCCCCACCGCTGCTTCTAGAATGTTTGCAGAGATTAAGGCACCCTTTGCTGAAACATCACTTGTTCGAACATCATGGTAAGGCACCCTTTGTTGAAACATCAATTACTGGAACATCATGGGGGGGGCTGCCGCCCCCCCCCCCCCAACCCCCCCGCTGGATTTTAGAATCTTCCCAGAGAATAAGGCACCCCTTCTTGCATCATTTCTTCTTCGAACATTAAGGCACCCTTTGCTGAAACATCACTTCTTCGATCATCGTGGTAAGGCACCCTTTGCTGAAACATCACTTCTTCGAACATCATGGGGGGGGCTGCCGTCCGTCCGGTCCGGTCCGTCCGTCCGGTCTGTCCGGTCTGTCGTCCGGCCCGCCCGGTCGCGGCCGTGTTTTTTTCATTTCGTTTTTTGTTTTTATTATTAAACAAACAAAACAAAAAAAACATATTGAAGGGATCCGGTCTGGTCTGTCCGGTCTGTCCGGTCCGCGGTCCGTCCGGTCCGTCCGGCCCGTCCAGTCCGTCCGGCCCGTCCGGTCCGGGGTCTGTTCGGTCCGGGGTCTGTCCGGTCCGCGGTCCGTCCGGGGTCCGGCGGGTCCGGGGTCCGTCCGGTCCGCGGTCCGTCCGGTCCGCCCGGTCCGTCTGGTCCGTCCGGTCCGTCTGGTCCGTCCGGTCCGTCCGGTCCGTCCGTCCGGTCGCGCCCGGTCCGTGTCCGTCCGGTCCGCGGTCCGTCCGGTCCGCGGTTGGTCCGTCCGGTCCGCGGTCCGGTCCGCGGTCCGTTCAGTCTGCGACCCGTCCGGTCCGTCCGGTCCGCTCGGTCCGTCCGGTCTTGGACGCGTCTTTTTACTTCTCATGTTTGTTTTTTATTTCCTTGCTGGATCTGCCTATATCCTTAGTGCCTTTTCATTGTACCGGCTGCTCCTTGGTTTTATTTCCCGTGAAGCGGTTTTATTTCCTTGCTATGGTTACCCCCATGGACAAACCGCAAACCCGCCCTGAACCAACCCTACACCAACCCTAAACTAACCCTACAGCCACCGACTTCGTGCCGCAGAAAAGCTCCAGGAGTCTCGGCATTTTTAAAGAGCAAGATCATCGCGAGTGCGACGACCAGGGAGACTCGCACGTTCATCGGACCAGTCCTGGGGAGGCTGGATGCCGCCGGCGCAGGACAGCCTCTTCCTTTTTCCCCGTCGTTTTTTTTCTCTGTCAGGAGTGGGATGGATGTGGGGGATCCCGGCGCGGGCACGGCGGCGCCCAGGCGCGTCCTGCTTTCGCAGGGTTCTTCTTTTTTTTGGACTGCCAGGACTGGTCCGGTGGCTGGCCCGCGCGCCACGGGGAGGCGCTTTCCCCCCCTCTCCCCCCCTCCCCTCTTTTTCCGTGCCCGCCAAAAGGCGTGGAAGCCCAGCCGCAGGTGCGCTCGATCGATCGCCTCTTCTCGTTTTTTTGCGTCGCTCGCGGAGGCCACCTCCTTCGAAACTCCGCCGCGAGGCGGAGTACAACGCGTCCAAGGCCTTCCTTTTTCCTCGTTTTTTTCTTTTTCCGCTCGCCTGGCAGGACAAGACGCGATTGGAGCTCGCGCTCAAGGCGCGTTCGGTTCTTCGCCGTTCGGATGTCGCCTTTTTTTCCCGTCAGGATGAGCGCCTCGCCGCGGCGGAGGCCCGCGCTTCCGCCGCGGAAGCACGGGTCGTCACCTTGGAGGCGGACAAGGCGCGACCCTTTTTTTCGGGGTTGGGCGGGGGCCGCAAATCCGTTTTTGCAGGTGGCGCTGATGCGGGAGGTGGCCGCGAAGGCCCGTCTCCCTCCCTTCTTTCCCCCCCTTTTTGGGTTTTTTTTCCTTGTCAGGAGACGCGGGTGGCGGTGCTGGAGACGGGGATCTGCGCCGAGAAACAGTGGACCCAGGCTCGCTACCGGGCGTCTTTTCTTTTTCCTGCCCCCGTTGCACCCGTCAGGCCGACGCGCGCTCGCTCCGCGAGGAGCTGGCCCGGCTGAAGGCTCATCCGTCGTCCGTTGAAATCGTTCGGCCTCGCTTTCGTGCCAGGCCGCTTCATCCCCGGCACCGAAGCGGGCGCGTAAAGGACCCCCCGTCCTCGTTTTTTTCCTTCCGAACCGTCGCGCTTGATCCCTCGCAGGACAGTGAGCGCCACCGCGACCGCCGGCATCGGCCTGCTGGAGGAAAAATCGCTCGGGCCCGCGGCCTTTTTTTTTTTCTCCGTTTTGTTTGGGAGTGCCGAAACCATGAAGCTTGCACTCGGGCTGGACGTTCAGCCAATGCCAAGGGCGGGAAATTCATGTCCATCCACAGACCTACTCTAGACCACCTAAACCAAACACAAACCCACCAAAATCCTGCTCTAATCCAGTACACCCGAGGCCGACCCCAAACCCACCTCAAACAGATTCTAAGCCAACACTAAATCCATCCGAAATCCACCCTGAAGCCTTTCGACACAAGCCCTAATCCCACACCCTAAACCCATTCTAAACCCACCCGTAGCCAACCCTAAATCCACCCCAAACCAACCCTAAACCAATCATAAACCCACTGTAGACCCATTCTCCAAGCCAAAAACCCACCCTCATCCAACTTTGAGCCCACCACATACCCAGCAGACCTGCTCGAAACCAACCTTAAACTTAAACCTTGCCCCCAAACCAACCCTAAACCCACCCTCAACAAACCCTACCCCGCCTCTAAACCCTTCCTACACAAACCTAATCCTACCCCAAACTAGCCTTAAATCTGAGGTCGCCCAACCTAAACCAACACAAAACCGACCCTAACACAAAACCGTAAATCCACGCTTCCCATCCCAAACCAACCCTAAACCCACCACCCTAAACCAACCCTAAATCCAAAACCACTCGGAAACCAACCCAACCCTAAACCGTTGCTTAGTGCAGTTGCCGCAGGCGTCGGCCACAGGGTTGGCAAAAAAAGAAATGGAGGGTTGAAAGGAAGAGGTGGAGGGTCAGAAAGAAAGGGGGGAGGGTTAAAAAAGAAGGGGGGAGGGTTAAAAAAGACGAGGGGAGGGTTAAATTGAAAGGGTGAAGGGTTGAAAAAACAGGGAAGGGTTTAAAAAAAGGTTTGGAGGGTGAGAAAAAAAGAAATGGAGGGTTGAAAGGAAGAGGTGGAGGGTCAGAAAGAAAGGGGGGAGGGTTAAAAAAGAAGGGGGGAGGGTTAAAAAAGACGAGGGGAGGGTTAAATTGAAAGGGTGAAGGGTTGAAAAAACAGGGAAGGGTTTAAAAAAAGGTTTGGAGGGTGAGAAAAAAGGGGTTCGCCAAAAGGCACGGGTTCCCTCTAGAAACCCTAAAGTCCAACTTCTCCAAGGGCTCCCTTGCAGGAGCACACAAAGGACCAGAAGAGGAGGGACCTGCTGCGAAAGCAGGAGCAGTGTTCGTCGCGACTGGGACGGGGTGATGTGGCATCATGTGGCAGCAATCCACATGTGTTTCAAAGGTCCCGTACGTGCTTTGAGTCGGGCCGCAACCAAGCCCAAGCGGGTAAGGGCTAGGCGCATAAACACGAGGACACGCTTGCTCCAAGTAAATAAAAGCGTTTGGATGTATGCTTCTAAAAAACACCCGTGAAAGCGGTTTTGATCTTGCATTTTTTTGATGTGGGGATGCCACATACGATTCCATAGGTCGTCATGGGTCCATAAGTGCATCCTTGTAGGCACTCCTTGTAGGCGTACCGCTTCTACAAAGCGAGGCATGACCCACATAGTTGAGACCCCAGGACCGAACGCTTCCCAGAACTGTCTCTAAGAAGCTTCCTTCCGAAGCTTTCCCTTGTGAGTGGGGTAGGTTCTTCCACTACGTGATGAACTTGGGCGTGAAGTTTTCTTTCGGTTTCCTTGATTTCTAAAGGGGGAGCCACCCAGTCTGTTCCGTGTTTACAAATGCATTCGATTCACACATATAACCTGTTGACACATGCACCGCATTTGTCTCGCTATTTCGTGGCGAGCTCAACATCCATGGTTCAGGTCCATGTTTTACATTTCTCTCCTTCCTTTGTCGTTGGGAAATCCCCACTAAACTGCTAAAATATATTTTTTTGCTCCCCTTCCAACGTCAACCAAGATTTCAAGAGTTGCACTCATTGCTGAATTTGCGGATTTGGCTTTGGGGTGAGAGACGCGGGGGGACTCATTCGCCGGGAGTTTTTTTTTGCGGAGAGGTTTGGGTAGAGAGAGAGAGAGAGAGAGAGAGAGAGAGAGAGAGAGAGAGAGAGAGAGAGAGAGAGAGGGAGAGAGAGGGAGAGAGAGGGAGAGAGAGAGAGAGAGAGAGAGAGGGAGGGAGGCGGGGAACAACTTGCTGGAGGCGCCTGAGGATTATGCTCAGGTCGAACCGCGGCACTCCACAACTCGCACTCCTTTGCGCTTCCCTAGACGCTTGGAGCTTTTCACTCAGGGCGGACCTTGCTAAAGGAGAGCCAAAAAGAACCCCCTCACTTTTTGGGTGGCAGGACAGGGCTCCTTAAAAGAAAATCATTTTGCAACCAGTTGAAACATGTGGCTTGTTCAACACCAAAATAACGGGAAACCACCATAAAACAAGTTGCAATGTTCAGGTGTGTAATGTAAGGATCCCTGCAGGAGGACGACTCCGAGCTTTTTCAGGACCGACGGGCTTGGCTCTGTTTTTTGTTTTTTTTTGGGAGGCGGGGGGGGAACCCCCAAGCGGCCTCTGGACGTGACTAGCCATTCGATGTGGGAACGCCCTTAATACTGTGGATGGACAAAATCCTGTACCAGTTGGCATGGATGCAACCCTAGGAATACTGCAGGTTCTAACCTGTTGCCATACGAATATGTTGGTTTGATTGGATTTCAGGAATTGACTACAATTTGTCTAACATGTTAAAGCATGCATCTCGAGCTCCACAACCAGTCAAATTTTCTATTAGTAAGGTCAAACTTCGCCCTTGGGCCGGACCAAACTGTGGCAAACCACAAGTTTCAACCTCACTGGTGGGTGTGACGGCGTGAAAGTAGACGGCCGAGTTTCCTTGAGTGTAACCCAACATCGTTTGGAGTTGTGCCATCTACCAACTCTATATGCGTGTCTATGTTTGAGGGTATTGTTTTGGGTTGGTTTTACAGGGAAACCAAAGGAGAACGACCCATTTTGGGGGTGTCCCTATTTTGAGACAACCCCGATAGGATGCCAATGGTCCCCAATCAGAGTTTATGCTCATACTCCTTTTCTTTATTGCTGGAAAAGAGGTAACCAGCTTTTCTCCTGCTATTCATGGGCTTGAGTTACCCTCCGAACCTGAACCTGACGTTTCGGGGGTCCTAGCCGATTTTCCTTTAGGGATGTGCTGAGTTTCATGGTCTGTCGAATTTGGAGGTTTCCAAAGGAAGCCAGTTGGGCGGGGGGGGGGGGACGGGGAGTGCCTGTAAAACAAGACACCCATGCCTTTTTGTTGCAGAGACAATCAACGGAATGCGCCTGACCCCAGCTTTGTTTTTCAGGGGGGTCCCATAGGTGCCCTTTTTGGTTGGTTTGTTTAAAAAATCGAGGGCCCTTTGTTTACCTGGTAGTTCAATGATCTACCAGGGCCATCTATTTTTCAAAGAAGGACACCTACTGTGGATGGACGAAATCCTGCACCACTTTGAGTTCAATGCTAACCATTGTTTGCTGGTATTTACAGGGGAACTCATCATTCCGGGGTTTCGTAGTCCACAGTATGGGATTTTGACGCCATCCACAGTATGGGCCCCATTCCTCCCGATTTGTTCGTTTCTAAAAAAAACCGACGGGCCGCTTCCAAGCCCCCCCCTTTTTTGGGGGGTTTCCACCAGGCGGCGCTGCGTGCCAGCCGGGTGGACCTGGGGCCCAGAGGCATCTCCCAGGCACCGGCTGCGCCGCCCGACCATTTCTCTGGGAGGAGGATCCATGGCCCCATGTCTCTATCGTTTTTCTTGCACAAGCGTCGCGAGTGGAGGGTCCCTCAAAAGGAGGAGAAGGGTTCTAGGGCTTGATTCACCATTCTTTTCAACCGTTGTTCTTTTCAAAAACCGGATCGCAGTTTCCCCTGGGTTGTTGAGATGGTTCCCTGAAAAGACTCGGATCACTGGAAAGAATGGGGGAAAGTCGCCCTAGAACGGCGCGTGGAACGTCACCCTTTGGGCTCTTGAAGGTCGGCCTTATGTATCCTTCGCATTCCAGATACCTGTACTTTTGGCAAGGCTCTGTACTTGCTGCTCAGGGAATGAGGAATGGAATGAACCCAGTGGCTTTTTGGGTTCCCCTGAAAGGAAGCCACCAGTTGGATGGAAAGCCACGAGTTGGATGGGTTGGGTCATGCCATGTTGTTGTTGTTGTTGTTGTTGTTGTTGTTGTTGTTGTTGTTGTTGTTGTTGTTGTTGTTGTTGTTGTTGTTGTTGTTGTTGTTGTTGTTGTTGTTGTTGTTGTTGTTGTTGTTGTTGTTGTTGTTGTTGTTGTTGTTGTTGTTGTTGTTGTTGTTGTTGTTGTTGTTGTTGTTGTTGTTGTTGTTGTTGTTGTTGTTGTTGTTGTTGTTGTTGTTGTTGTTGTTGTTGTTGTTGTTGTTGTTCCCTCCGTCCTGCTGTTGGCGCGCGCGCCGAACGCAGGAAATCCCCCTGTAATGAGCGCGCAACGTGCTCCAAATGCTGGTTTTCCTCAGGGATTCAACGGGTCAGGTTTTGGTGACGTCAAGAGGCACGCATTGTGCCCGAAAGACCGCCTTTCCGCAGGGGTTCGTCATGTTTTCCTTCATGTGATAAGCACACCCGCTCAAGTGCATCATGTCATAACTGCACACATGCAGGCACATGGTAAGCACACCCGCTCAAGTGCATCATGTCATAGCTGCACTCATGCAGGCACATGGTAAGCACACCCGCTCAAGTGCATCATGTCATAACTGCACTCATGCAGGCGCATGGTAAGCACACCCGCTCAAGTGCATCATGTCATAACTGCACACATGCCGGCACATGGTAAGCACACCCGCTCAAGTGCATCATGTCATAAATGCACACATGCCGGCGTAAGCACACCCGCTCAGGCGCATCATGTCATGACTGCACACATGCCGGCACATGGTAAGCACACCCGCTCAGGCGCATCATGTCATAACTGCACACATGCCGGCACATGGTAAGCACACCCGCTCAGGTGCATCATGTCATAACTGCACACATGCCGGCACATGGTAAGCACACCCGCTCAGGTGCATCATGTCATCACTGCACACATGCCGGCACATGGTAAGCACACCCGCTCAAGTGCATCATGTCATAACTGCACACATGCCGGCACATGGTAAGCACACCCGCTCAGGTGCATCATGTCATAACTGCACACATGCCGGCACATGGTAAGCACACCCGCTTAGGTGCATCATGTCATAACTGCACACATGCCGGCACATGGTAAGCACACCCGCTCAAGTGCATCATGTCATAACTGCACACATGCCGGCACATGGTAAGCACACCCGCTCAAGTGCATCATGTCATGACTGCTCACATGCCGGCACATGGTAAGCACACCCGCTCAGGTGCATCATGTCATAACTGCACACATGCTGGCACATGGTAAGCACACCCGGCCACACGCCATGTCAAACTCAACATCCATGCCGGCACATGTAAAACACACCCCGCTCAATGCATCATGTCAATGACTCACAACATGCCGGCCAACTTGGTAAGCACAAAAACCACCCGCTCAAATCAGCAATTCATGACTGCACACAGCCGGCACATGTAAAACACAAAATCCCAAAACAAGCCACCCCAAAACCCGCTCAAAGTCAACCCTATGTCATGACTGCACACATCCCCACATGGTAAAGCACAACCCGCTCCAATGCATCATCATAAACTGCAACACATGCCGGCACATGGTAAGAGTCACACCCGCTCTAGAGCATCATGTCATGACTCACACAATGCCGGCAACATGGTAAGCACACCCGCTCAAGTGCATCATGTCATGACTGCACACATGCCGGCACATGGTAAGCACACCCGCTCAAGTGCATCATGTCATGACTGCACACATGCCGGCACATGGTAAGCACACCCGCTCAAGCGCATCATGTCATAACTGCACACATGCCGGCACATGGTAAGCACACCCGCTCAAGTGCATCATGTCGTAACTGCGCAACTTCTCGTTCTAGCGTTTCGCGCGAAAAACGATAGGGGACTCTCAAAAAACGATACCTCAAGTTATTTAAAACGATACCCCCAAAACCTGAAAAACGATAGGGGGCTTTCAAAAACCAAATGAATACACCCCAGACATATAATTTTGACCCCAACTCGACTTGTTTGCGATGTGCGAGTCCGCTTGCGATATGGCTTTCAGGGCAGTTTGTAGCATAAACTGCATGGTCATTGCATGTGCATCAATGACAGCATTGTTTGGTCAGCTCTCGAGTTCGGTTGTGGAACCAATTAGGTGCATGCGTCGGTCATGGCTGCAGAAGACGATCGCTTCGTCTCCTTCTTTCTAGCTGCCGGCCCTCCGTCGCCGGAGGGGCCGCATGACTCCCCGTCAGCTCTGCAATACAAACGGTGGCACGCGCGACAATTGCGTGCCGCCGATGCCTTTGCTACTGAGATAGAAGTGAAGTCGGATGGGTCTGCGCATGTCATTAGTGACGATGAGGATGATGCTGCGGATTCGCACGGGGAAAGTATGCAAGATGACTCTTCATCTTTGGGGCTGGCGCTTTCGCCAGAGTATTCTCCTTCATGGACTTCCTCCCAAGTGTGTCGGCATTTCGAGGCCAGTGACTGCGAAGCCGAGAACTGTGCGCTGACTGCTCTTGCAGACACTACCTCGCACTCGCAGGATGTGAGCATGGGCGAGGAGCCATCGCATTTGCCTGAATCTCTGCCGTCGGTGGAGGAGATGGAGCTCACTGACTTTGAGTCTGAGACCGATCCTGTTGAGCGAGCTTTAGCGAGAGACAGTATGCAGTACATGTCTCACGAGCTTGGCCGCGAAGACATTGGCTGCAGTCAGGGGCCGCAGGAAGAGCCGTCGTCTTCGAGCACAGTTTTGCGACGCCGCGGATATGACTTCGCTGGGCTTCATGCGGCAGCTGCTGCATCTGCATCCGTGCGATCTGCCACGAAATACGGGCGTTGCCCGAAGTGCCAGGCCAGGGCGTCTTTTGTTTTTCTTGATACGTGATTCGCAGTTTCTTCCCTAATTATGCTGCTTCCTGCTTTCAGCGCTCATGTTTCTTGCTGCCCCGAGGTGCCATTGAAGCCGATCGTGCACCAGAGAGGGCTGTCGAGGGGCGAAGTCACACTTCGCTGCGGCCGCGGGTGGGTCCAACATGGACGCAATCGCAGCTGCTGGTATTCTTTAAAATACCAGGGGGACATGTCTCAGCTTCCGAGACATGTACGAGAAGATGTGGCGTCCTTTAGACGTGACACACGCTTCTCCATTTCCAGGGGGGCCGTTTCCAGGGGTGTCTAGGAAAAAGGGCCAGCTTGCAGTTGTGTGTTCTGCCGCAGGTTACTGTGCAATGCAGCGCAAGCAAGCATGTGGAAGGCAAGCCTGTAAATCTTTTGTGTCGCACTTCAGAGTAACGTTGGCTCTCAGTGAAGTTTCGTAGGCCACTTGTGTCCATGGATGCGCCACTGCAGGTCGTCGTGCAGGAGCTGGGCAGTTTTTGATACGAGAGGGAAGGGTCCTGTCGCCTTTTTGGTGGGGCTGGAATTCTTAAAAAGCCTTTTATTTTGTAGCCTCTTGGGTGGGGTTGGGGGCTGTTGGCCCTCTTCCCCCGTCGCCTCTTGGGTGGGGTTGGGGGCTGTTGGCCCTCTTCCCCCGTCGCCTCTTGGGTGGGGTTGGGGGCTGTTGGCCCTCTTCCCCCGTCGCCTCTTGGGTGGGGTTGGGGGCTGTTGGCCCTCTTCCCCCGTCGCCTCTTGGGTGGGGTTGGGGGCTGTTGGCCCTCTTCCCCCGTCGCCTCTTGGGTGGGGTTGGGGGCTGTTGGCCCTCTTCCCCCGTCGCCTCTTGGGTGGGGTTGGGGGCTGTTGGCCCTCTTCCCCCGTCGCCTCTTGGGTGGGGTTGGGGGCTGTTGGCCCTCTTCCCCCGTCGCCTCTTGGGTGGGGTTGGGGGCTGTTGGCCCTCTTCCCCCGTCGCCTCTTGGGTGGGGTTGGGGGCTGTTGGCCCTCTTCCCCCGTCGCCTCTTGGGTGGGGTTGGGGGCTGTTGGCCCTCTTCCCCCGTCGCCTCTTGGGTGGGGTTGGGGGCTGTTGGCCCTCTTCCCCCGTCGCCTCTTGGGTGGGGTTGGGGGCTGTTGGCCCTCTTCCCCCGTCGCCTCTTGGGTGGGGTTGGGGGCTGTTGGCCCTCTTCCCCCGTCGCCTCTTGGGTGGGGTTGGGGGCTGTTGGCCCTCTTCCCCCGACGCCTCTTGGTGGGGTTGGGGGCTGTTGGCCCTCTTCCCCCGTCGCCTCTTGGGTGGGGTTGGGGGCTGTTGGCTCTCAGCAACGTCGCCAGGAGGAAGTACCTGTGGATGATAGATTGACATCGGCGGTGACTGAAGGGCTTGAGCGTTTTTTGAATGGTAGCAGCACTGCCGCTTCTGTCTCTGTGTCATGGAAGCATGACTTTGCACGGGCAATGTTTGAAAGCACTCAAGTGTTGTTTTCGCTCCGCCGCCAGGTAGGTCCGGACGACTCGGGAGATTGCTTGGTGATATTGCTGTTGGTGGCTAAATCGTTTTGGCAAATAATGTGCGGCTCACATGGATGGGCAACTGATATTGCTCCCTTGCAGCCCATGCTCCTTCGAGCAAATGTGGCTGTGAGCATTCGGACCCAAGTTGTTTTTGTGTGGGGAAGCGATTGGGTCCGAAAAGCCCGGGAAGCACAGGTCGCCTTGGCGACCGCTTTGGAGCTGTTGGATTGCTCCGTAGCATCTGCACACGCTCTTCCAATTTTGAAGTCTGTTTTTGACGCTTGGCGTGTGACGGCAGATGAAACACAGCTTTTGTTGCTGGGCTTGTTGAGCGAGCCAATGCCTTCCGCATGTTGACGCTAGATGCCCGTTGCCTCCACCATGAAAAAGAAAGCGTGTTCTCCTTTTTGTTTGTCA